CCTTTAAAAATCATACTATAGGATCATAAGAAATTTTAAAACATCAAATAGATAGTATCTACTTTCCAATTACATGTTCAAATGTTTCACTCATTGCCAAATATATTATCCTCACATGTTAACTAAGTTGTCCATCATCATTTTGCTATACAGTATCTTTCATCACCAACTGCTGAGTTACTAAAAAAATTCAATTTACCACACAAGGTGAGTTAGGCCCCAAAGATGAATTCTTAGTGATCTTTTACCCAGCTCTAACAATCTTCACCTTTATATGAGAGCAAGAGGAATTGAGAAGGCCTGGTGGCTAAGTTTCTTATTATCAGATGAGAACTAGAGAAATCATGGTGGTTTTCATGGTTCTTACCTTATTGCAAAAAGCAGCAGAGCCAGTACAGGGTTCCTGGTTCCAGTCTAAGGCCACGATCTACCTATGGAATGTTCCTGGCCTCAGTTTCCTTACTGGGAAATAAAGACATCTTTCTTTTAAGTATTTTTGTGAACATGTAAGTAATATATGCATTGATTTCTGCACATCTGGAATAAAACAAAAATTTTAAAGTAACCTACAATCATATCACCCAGAGAGAGCCACTATTAACATCATGAGGAAGAAGAGGGTATAAGCAGACTAAATGGTGATGGAAAAAATATAATCAAGATTATATTAAATTTTTTTAACGCATTTCTCCCTAGAAATGGGAAAAGAGAAAGACAGGAGAGTGTACATATATATATGCACACACACAAATTAGGGATGTGATATAACAGGATGTATAAAAAAATAAACAAATAGAATATTTATTGCTTTATGAAATTAAAACTAGATATGAATGATTCTTAGGAAAATATAAATTACATTAATTGACTCAAAAGTAAACAGCAGAAAACTTGAATAGATCTAGAATCATGAAAAAAAACTGAGAACATTTGCAGAAACTCATTTTCATGATATAGATATCATTACAACCCCATGTTACAGAATGGGGAAACTGGAAAGGCTGCGTGTGAAAGAATGAGCAGAGATGGCACTTCTCAATAGTTGCCATGATTTCAGTAACCATATGCATAGTAGGTCTGGACCACAACAAGAAAATTCTCATACTATGGCAGGGAAGTCATTTAATCATCAGTAACCAGCACCTACTCTGTGCTAGGTGCTGTTCTGGGTGCGGGGGATGCAAAGATGAATAAACACGCTATGGTCCCTGTGTTCAAGAATGTTCTAGTTGAGTCAAGATAGACACATAATTATATAGGCTATACTGCAACATGTTAATTGCTATGTCAGAGGCAGGAAAAAAGTATTGCTAGAGCCCAGAGGAAGGAATGATACCATGGGAGTCTGGGAAGGACTTATACTGAATGCATTGTTTGGGCTGGCTCTGGAAAGACAGGCAGAGAAGGAAGAGAAAGGCATTTCCATGCAAAGGGAACAGCACGTGCAAAGGCAAAATGCTATGCATAATCTCTATGTTGACTTCATTAAATCCTCTCTAAAAACAATGCAAATGGACAGTATGCTGCTTTTGGTAGAAGGCAATAGTCCTGAGTATCATCCTTTCCTTCTTCCATCCTGACAAAAACTTAAAAATGGTAGAGTATTTGGCAGAAATCTACCTTAATCGGTTGTCAGAGATTCTGCCATGCTATGAAGGCTGTCAGTAAAATGTAAAGATGAGGATAAACAATATGTTCGCCTGCCAGCAGGTGGCTGATAATCTGTTCATTCAGTATCAGCGGGGAGCCATGGAAATATGCCATTTATGCAAGCCTATGAGGCTACTGCTCAAAAGAGGAAGCAGGTTTGTAAGAAGCTAAAAAAGTCTTCCTCTAATTTAAACTCTCGAGAGCTATCTGTGTGGCCTCTGCTTATAGACAGAGAATGAAATAAAGCATGGCAGACATTCTGATATGAGTGATCTTAATTTTGACCACTCACCAAAACCTGATTCAGACAGAGACAGGCAGATGAATCTGATACTATACAGAAGGTCACGTGTATGGTAGTTAAGTTGACAGTTTCATATCTCAAAATAGTTGACACTCTGCAGTGTAGGAATTTCACCATCTCACTGAGGCTATGAACTATGTATGGAATTAAGAATTAAGATGCTTTGTTTGTTTTCCCTGAGGTTCTTTCAGTTTGGATTAGAAGAGCTAAAGGAGCAGTTTGGAGGAAGACAACCTGGCTTGAAGGCTTATTTCTTATGGGACTTTGAACAAGTTACTTAGCAACTCTAGCTAATAATACCTACTTCACAAAACTGCTGTAAGGATTAAATGAGATACTTTATGTAAAGTACTGCCACATAAGTGCTCAGTAAATGACAGCCATAATGCTGCTGCTGCTGGCCTTCTACTACTTCTTCTTATTACTATTATTGAGATCCAAGATCTGGACTTTTTCCCAAATAGAATATGAACCTGTAGGGAAAAGAAAAATTTTATTAAGTCTAAATAATTATAAATGGATGAATTATACTATGAATAAAAATATTTTCTGCCCTGGCTGGTATAGCTCAGTGGACTGAGTGCGGGCCTGCAAACCTAAGTATTGCGGTTCGATTCCCAGTCAGGGCACATGCCTGGGTTGCAGGCCAGTTCCTGGCAGGGGACGCATGAGAGGCAACCATACATTGATATTTCTCTCCCTCTCTCCTTCCCTTCCCCTCTAAAGATAAATAACTTAAATCTTTAAAAAATATTTTCTGCTGATAAATTTTATATTTTTCACTGTTATCAATAATCAGACAGAAGCGGATCCTGTTTTAGTTTCCCTTCTTAGTTTATTACATTTATAATGGCTCTATTGTACTCTGAGAATCAAGATACAAGTGTTAACATCTCTGCAAAAGTCTCATTTTACAGCATGCAGTTTTGAAATAATTATATTTTACTGCCTAGTATTCTCAACATACATGGAAAACTGAATGGTTTAAAATCGAGCATCGCTGTATTTTCCAAAGAACCCCACCTTCTCAGAATATGCCCAAAGTAGGACAGCTTTAGTTTTGTCATTTTTTCTTCCAGTGATTTTCAAGATTTAATTTACTTTAGGATCCACATAAAATTAATATTTGTCATGAGGAGAAAAACCAATTTTAAATGTAATCATCTTTATATAGATTACAGAAATATTTTGTTTCCCTTCACTGAGATAATAGCTAAAAATAAATCTTCTAAAGTATATATGAAACGTCTTCTACAAACATCATATGATTTCATTTATATGTAGAATCTAATGAACAAAACAAATGAACACAATGGAAAGAGACTCATAGAGACAGAGAACAGACTGACAGCTGTCAGGGGTGGGGGGTTGGCGCGGGTGAAAAAGGTGAAGGGATTAAGAATAAAAAAGGACGAGGAAGAGGAGAAAACAACCTCATAGATACAACAATATGGTGATTACCAGAGGGAAAGAGGGGTGGAGAGAGGTAGACTAGGGTGGAGGAGGAATGAATGGTGATGGAAGGAGAATTGGCTTTGGGTGTTGAACACACAGTACAACATACAGATGATTATAGAAATGTACACTTGAAAACTATATAATTTTATTAACCAATGCCACCCCAACAAATTCAATAAAGAAGAGTTCTAAAGTATACACTGAGCTTTTGAAAGTTAGTTTTATGAACTAGAAAAAGCAAAGAGTTTTCAGGTTGTAACCCATTTGTGTGGCCCTGCACGTTACCTGCTAAACCTGTTTCTCGTCTCAGAAATGGGGCCATAACTACTAAACCCGTCTGTGTGGTAAGATTTCCACTACAACAACTGTGAAGGAGCCTGGCACACAGTAGGAACGGTCGCAGTCTGCAGAAAAGCTAAATATCCATTAAAATTCCTGGAACCAAGGGAAAAAACCCACTGAATTTTGTGATAAATAATTCCAACTGTTTGGCATAAACTATACTAAAAATTACAGCATTTTATCGGCGTTCTCCACATTAATTATTTAATCCTCACAAGGCTGTGGAATACTTTTTAAAAGCCACCTACGGCTGAGGAAACAAAGGTCTCAGGAGGTTAAGAAACTTCCCAACACCATCCCACACGATGGACAGAAGTTCTGAATTCAGGCTGCCTCTAAAGTCTTACCCACTTCTCCATACCGCCATAATACACGAAATGTCAAACTAAATTCCAAACTCATCTCTTTAGGGCTGCAGTAACAAAACCGAAAACTGCACTACTCGGAGTGAGTATTCTCAAAGAGCTACGTTTAGCATTTCAGACCTAAGCGAGCTGAAAGCCTGTACTGGGGGAAAACAAGTGCAATTCTGACCAATATATTACTCTATCGAGGATTAGTCCGGGATAGTGTCAACGTCCCCCACCTCCTTAATTATAAATTAAGTCCCCCACGTAAGAAGACTGTACTGGGTCTCTGCTGGCAATGCAAAAGAAACAGATGGACAGGGGAGCCCCCCACACCACATTCTAGACTCAATTTAACCTGCTATGAAATGCATTCTGCACTTGACTTTATTTGGTGCGTTTCTCTTCCTGTAGTCTAGTCTTGCTTCTCCCGCATCCTTTAAAGTGCATCGAAATGAACATTACAGAAAACAACAGTCAGGCAGAAGGGGATGGTGGCAGAGGACCCCTAAATCTCAGAATCTGTGGGAAAGTCAAGAAGAAATTCCTGAGTCCTGAACTCGTTCTCCAGGTGTAAAAGAACAAAGGAAAACCCCATTAGCCTAGTTCGCGAGAAATCACGTACGCTCTACAGTGTCCTGGGTACACTCTCATCCGAAACCTCGAGGCAGGCGGCTGAGCACACCAGAAACCCGGCCGGCCTCATTATTTTAGCAGCCTCCCAAGGACCCTACCGACTCCAGCGGCAGAAGGCAGCAGTTAGCCCTTGGAGTCTCCGAAAAGAAACGGACAACCACAGCGTCTCTGGTTGCTAGGAGACCATGCACACCTCCTCCAATCAGCGCACATCTCTTTGCGTCCAATCACAGAAGCGCAAGAGCTGTAGTCGGAGGTGAAGGGTCACGCTGCTTTTAGGCGGCCATTTGTCTTAGAGCTCCGCGATTTGGGCTCGTCTAGGAGTACTCTAGACACGAGAGGCGGGCGAGAGCTGGGTCGCTGGCGAGTAATCTGTAGCCTTTGCTCGTTGTCACGATGGTAAGGAACCTCCGGGGAGCAAGGAAGATCGCTTGAACGGCGCTGCGGGGCCTGCGAGCTGGTTCGCGCGTTTCCCATTCATCAGCGCGAGGCGAAGCGCCGCGCAGGCGGTCCCAGCCCTTTCCTCCCTGCCCAGGGGTTTTGAGATTCCGCTCCTTCCGTTGCCCTGGGCTCCCCGGGAGTGTCCCTGCAGCTTTCCCCTTCTGCTTTGGTTTGAATCTGAGCCCGAGGTGTTCTTGCTGGCTGGGGCCATGGGGTAAAGACAAAGAGGTTTTTCACGTCCCACTTTGAAATGAAAGTGTGCTTTCCTTCCTCGATATTGTGACTGTAGCGCCCAGGCTTTGGAGCATTGGTTTGTTCGTTTAGCAAATATTTATTGAGCGCATGCTACCTGCCAGATACTCTGCTAGGTGGTAGGAATATGAGGTGAAAAGAATGGATGCGGACCCTGGCCTAGGTTAATTCCATCAGGCGTGGGAGACAGACATTAATCAAATAATAACAAATATATAATTGCAGATAATATTAAGTGCTAAGAAGGAAGCAAACAGGATGCTGTGAGGGGGCGAGAGGGTACATTAGAACAGCGATCAGGGGTGGCATCCTTGGAAGGGGAGGGGTGTAACCTGACCTAAATGCAAGGAAATATCGCCCCTTAAAGAACAGAAAGAAGAGAACGTGGGCATTGGCTCTAAGGCTGGAAATAAGGCTCGACCATTGGGAGGAATTAACGGAAAGCCACAGCCTTTTGCAAGAACTGTGGTTATGAGATAGGGTCCGGCAAGACCTCTCAGGCCACATTAGGAGGTCAGGATTCAACTCCACTTGCAGTTTGAAGCCACTGAAGCATTTTAAGCAGGGATGTGACATGATAAAAGTAACAGTAGCCATGTGGGCAATAAGTTGGAGAAATGCAAGAGTGAAAACTGGACACTTCATTAGGAGGTTATTGCCGTAATTTTCGTGCCCTTTGAGATGACTCTGAATAAGTTTATCTTAAAAGGGTTTATTAGCTAAGGTTCTTTGGGCTGATGGGTGAGCAGATGAAAAAAGGGAAAAATGTGAATTTACAGGTGATACTTCTGCTTTGCTGAATAAGTGATTAAGTGATTAGTAATTAAATGATAAGCTCATCTGTAAGGGCACTGCTAAGTCAAGTAAGTCCCAGTTCTAGCTCCTAGAATTCAAGCAAGACTGTCAAGTGTGATCTGCCCCCTCTTCACACAAGCCTGTGTGGGACTTGGACAGCCCTGAATTTGTATGTCCCTGAGATCACCGTGTTGCTCCCTTCTTCCCTCCTGTTACATGTGTAGTCTCTGCCTAGAAGAGCTGTTTTCCCTCCTAGAAATCTCTCTTCCTTAAAATGGAACCATTACTTCAGACAGCTTTTCCTTTTCTCTTAATGCTGGATTGGTTTGGTACCCTTACACCAAAAGAGGGCCATTCTTCGCGTTGCAATAGAATTGTCTATTCGTGTGTGTTCTGCACTTCCTCCTCCCACTGTGAGCTTCTTGAGGACTGGGACTGTCACCTGCATTTTTTTTCACTGCCCTTTCATCGTTTTCTTTATAACCTGGAACAGTGGGTGATGTTTAATAGCTATTTGGTGTTTCTTAAGGGAATAATGAATACTTTTTAAAGTTTTTGTGGTTTGAAGATGAAATTGGCTGACTGGGTATTTAAATTTCTCTGATGCTCTTCAATAAATAAAAGTGAAAATTATGTGAGAGCGAGTCAAGAGTTTGCTTCTTTTGGATACCATAAAATATTGGTGATTTGGTAGCAGAGAGTAGGTGGTGGGTGTGGAACTCTAGAAGTTACTTGAAATTTTTTTGTTTGTTTTTTTGTACAGAGTTTGCCCCTCAACCCCAAACCTTTCCTCAATGGATTAACAGGAAAGCCAGTAATGGTGAAACTTAAGTGGGGAATGGAGTACAAAGGCTATCTGGTATCTGTGGATGGCTATATGAACATGCAGGTAAGCTAAAGGCTTATAAAAATTATTAAATCGTGTTTACTTTTCTTCACCTTAGTCCTCTAAGGTTTAGTGTGACTTATGAGGGTGAAATTATTTAAATTGACAGTTAAAGCAAAAGTTAAGAAAAAATGTCAAGGTCAGGGAGGCAGGTATAGCCATAACAAACTACAAATGAGCTATGGTGTTAAACTAAAACACAGCCACAGATTTGACTCCCAGTCGCTACCAGTAAGAAGAGCTCAGACCTTTGGTTTATAATGCTAGAAGGGAAACATACTCGTTTGCTGAAAAAGAAAAACCTTTCAAGTAGCACATAGCTCTGAAAGAAATTTTTCGAGTGAAATTCTTGTCTTTTAATGAATGCTAAAGGCATGTCATCAGGGTAATTGCATAAAAGCATTTCTTGAGGGAAAAGACATATCAGCATAGTGGATTGATCAAATGACTACATGTTTGTTTTACTTCTGTGTACTTCTGTAGATGTTTCAGCCAAGTTTTTTTAATTGTGATACAGTTTCAAATAACATAAAATTGACCACTTTAACCACTTTCAAGTGTACGACTCCGTGGCATTAAGTACTTTCACACTGTTGTGCAGCCACACCCCTTATCAGTTTCTCGAGTTTTTATCATTCTCAACTGAAACTCTACCCCCTAAAAAGTAACTTCCCCCACTTGCAGCTACTGGAAAATACTAACCTCTCTATCTCTCTATTTTAGGTACCTTATCTAAATGGAATCCTACAGTTTATCCTTTTGGCTTATTTAAATTAACTTAATTTTCAAAGCTCATACCTGATGTAGCATGTATCAGAATTTAATTTCTTTTTAGGGTTGAAGTAATATCCTACTGTATGTTATTTTGATCCATTCTTCTGTTGGTAGACAGTTGAATTGTTTCCATCATTCGACTACTATGAATAATGCAGCAGACATGGCCGCACAAACACCTGCTAGGATCTCAGCTTCCAGCTGTTTTGGGTACATACCCAAAAATGGAATTGCTGGGTCACACAGTCATTGTTTATTACTTGAGGAACTGCCATACTGTTTTCCACCTGAACAGATGATGCGCAGGTCCCCCAAATTTTTGTAGACTGTGGTTTGCACCTGGAAAATTCCCCAAGTAGGAATCATTTGCCATGTCCATAGAAAAGTTGGAAAGAACACATCCCACATACTGAAAGTGTTCCAGATAGTGGTGATGGTTATACAATTTTTAAAGCACTGACTTGTATACTTTTATACACTTAAAAGTGAATTTTATGTTACAGAAATTGTATTAGTGGAAGAACTGAATAAAGACTGCTACTGAATATTTGGTTTTAAAAGTAATGTAACTTCCTAGTGAGCTTGCCAGGTTTGAAACGTACCCCAGGGACCACACAGATGATGCCTTTGAGTTTGTTCACTCATTGTGTGCCTGGCCCTGTCAATACCCACTGATCAAAACAAAGTCCCTGCCCTCAAGCAGTTGGCTGTAATGGTGGGAGATGGTAACAGAGTGTGATGTGGTATCAGGTAAAGATAGGTGCCCTGGAGAAAAAGAAGGGGAACAGAGCGACAGAGTGTGCAGTCTTAGCTAGATTAGCCCAGGAGAGCCTCTCTGAGGGAGTGAGTTGAGACAGAGACCAGAACAGCCAACAGCTGCACAGTTGCTGAAAAGTGAGAGCAGCTGGAGGGAGAACGTTCCACTTTGAGGGCAATAGCCAGAGCAAAGGATTTGTGGAAGGAACTTGGTTGGTATGTTCAAGGCACAGCAAGAAGGCCAAAGCAGAATGAATTAGGGAAATGATGGTAGAAAGGTTGCAGGTGTAGTCAAAGAAGGCCTTTTCAGTGATAGTGAGGACCGTTTGCCAAAAATTGCTTTTAAAGAAATCAGTTGATAGTAATACATTATTTCCGAGAGTTGTTACATACAAAACTAATTGTCTCAACAAACGTATTCAGATAAAACCTGTCCGGTATAGGAGGTTATTTTTGTTCTCTGTACGAGAGGGAATAATAACGAGTAGCAGTATCAATTCATTAACACTTTTTACATGCCTTACCGCACAGCCTCTATATGCCCTGTTTTTCCTCCACGTTGCCACTTGCCCAGCTAACAAAGGAAAACTTCCCTCACCTTTCTTTCCTGCTCATGTCTTTTGTGAGTCTCAGCACAGATTATGATCTTTAACAAATTAAAATTAGAGTTTGTTACCTGTATGTAGAAGGAAGGCTAAACATTTTTATGAAAATTAGAAGTAATATAGTTCCCTAACTGTAAATGTTACTTTTTAAAAACTTTTAAATGTCTCACACTTAGTTGAAACATGAAGGCTTTCATCAAACTTTAAGTCTCTAAAAGATCCCCTTTATAAACAAACGTTTATCACATAATAGTGTGTAACCCACCAACCACAATTCAGTAAGGAAAATGTTGAGTTTAAATATTTATGAATGAATTTCAAATCCCAATTCCTAAGGTGTTTTGGGTCAAAAATTTTTAATGAGTTCTGCTTTTAAAGTATAATTTGACACAGTTATTTGGTTTTAGGTGTACAGCATAGCGATGTTGTCTATGTATATTTTACAGGGTGAAATCACAGTGAGTTCAGGAAACAGCTGTCACTGTGCAGTTACTATGATATTGACTGTATTCTTTGTCCTATATATATTATATCGCTGTGATTTATTTATTTAGTAACTGAAGTGTGTAGGGTTACTCTTCATTGTTTAACCTTCTTTTAAGAACTTTATTTTCCTGTTTGTTAGCAGATAGATTTTTTAAAATTTTTCAAAGATTTTATTTATGTATTTATTTTTAGAGAGAGGTTAAGGGAGGGAGTAAGAAGCAGAGAAACATCGATCAGTTGCTTCTTAGACACCCCCAGCCAGGGACCTGGCCTGCAATCCAGGCATGTGCCCTGACTGAGAATCGAACCAGCCACCTCTCAGTTTGTGGGGCAATGCCTGACCCACTGAGCCACACCAGTCAGGGCTAAAAATTTCTTACTCAGTTCTTTGGTTTGGTTGGTGACTAATATAAAAGTATTTTAGTTATAACTTTGTGCACCCATTGGGTTCCTCAGTATGATACTACAATATAAAGTTATTCTAAGGAAAGTTCTGCTTCTAAAAAACTGAATTTTTGGAAAACTTCTTAATCAGCTTATTCATAAATTGGGAGGCTGCCTTCCTTGACACATTGTTTTAATGTCTATTAGAAAGAAATATTACACAAGTGAGATTATTAAAATTACGTTGAAACAAACTTTATTATATAGTAGCTCTACATCCATCAATGTTAACTTTACAAAATACTTATATGAAACCAAAAGTACTACAACAGTAATAGAAAACTAATCTTACATTAATTACAGAAAAATATGAATTATTGGTATAGAATAGTCTCAGTTAAGTTCTCTCACCAGTATTTAGTGTGTTTTACTGTTTTTCTTTTGTATTATTAATATATTTTCTTTTTATTTAAAGCTTGCAAACACAGAAGAATACATAGATGGAGCATTGTCTGGACACCTGGGTGAAGTTTTAATAAGGTAAAAAAACGGAGTTACTGGTTAGCATTAGAAAGACCCATATAAGTGAACAAGTTTAGTGCCTCACTGTTCACAATTACTTTAAAATCGCTATTAATTTAACTTAACATTCTAAAACTGTACTTCAGGAATCTTTGAAATTGCTAAATTTGTTACAGATTTAAATATTTTGGAGCTGTTCATCCTTAAGATTTTTTTTTTGTATTAGTATTAAACTTTTTAGATCTTAGCTTTAACTTTTTTTAGTGGTTTTAATTGTAGGAGCTTGGTTTTGAATTTTAGTTGGATCTGGCTGCTGTTAGGGACTTTGGTGAATGCTCATTTCCCAGAACTATATACCTCCAAATTTTAGCCATCATTTCCTTTGAAAGGTTATAGAGATACCATTTATAACTACCACATGGTGAAAAAAAATAATGCCGTGTACTTTTTAACAAATCAATGGTAAAAACATTTTTTTAAATAAGAGAAGAAAAAAATGCTATAATGAAAGTTTAGTATTTTATATTTTTGTAATGAATATAATCTAGTAATTGTGAATCATATATGGTATCCTGTTGGAACAACAAAATGGACTGTTTTTCTCTTTACAGATGTAATAATGTCCTTTATATCAGGGGTGTTGAAGAAGAGGAAGAAGATGGGGAGATGAGAGAATAGCATCTTTTGGGGGAATTTTTTTATATTTGTTTCTAGATAATAAAATATATGCTTGTTTTTCAACTTGACTTGTGAACTATTTGTATTCAGATATTTACATGCAAAACTCAAATGTTGAAACATTTGAAAGATTATCTACGAAAGTAATACCCTAAAAGCCACCCAGCTTTGCTCGAATTGGTTTTCTTTAGTAAACTCAATACTCTTATTTTTATCTATAAAGGAAAGTTATTTATATGCCTTATAAATGTTTACAAAGGTGAATCTCAGCCCTTTTCTTGTAATTATATATTAACAGACCTTTTAAAAGCAACTGTTTTTTTTTAGTTATTTTGAGCCATTTTTGACATGTATAAAGTTAAATGTTTTCCTAGACTTAACATATAATAATGTATTATTTTAGTAGACAAATTACATGTAAGCTTAATAGTATACACATATTATAGCTAAAACGAAACATCACCTGAAAGTTGCTTACAGATATAGAGCACAACAAATTGTGAACTGATATGTAGGCTGAAGACATGGTTGGTTCACTTAAGAGAATGAAGTTTCTGAATAGTATTGCTTAATGTGAATTACAAATCATTCCCATAGTTATGTTCTGAGAATATAACCTAGTGGTTTTCATTTGCATTTTAAACTCCTCAGAAACCCTTCACATGTTTTAGAGTTGTACATTATTAAAATGTATACTCCACATACTCCACAGTGATGAAATGTATACTATGAACTTTCCTGTAGATTGGTTGGGAAAAATAGATCATTTAAAGTCTCATGTTGTCAGAGAATGCCACTATTGCAATTTAGTGGCCATTCAGTGTATAGTTACATCAGTAAAGTAACTTTGGATGTGTATTCCCAACTGGGACAGCTCAAAGTATAGCTCTAAAATGTTTAGAATAATATCTAGGCCATGGGTAATAAAAGCCTTCAACAAAAGGAAATAACTTCCATTTCCAATCCTGTAACCTTCAGAACAACAGCATGTCTTTCTCAAATTGGTTAGGCCAGCACATGGCACAGAGTAGTGCCATTACTGTGAACCCAAATCTGTACAATGTGCTTAAACATTGTGCTGCTGTCTTACTGCTCCTATTCAAGTGAAAAAATACTCCTCCTCTATTGATCTTGTTGTTGTAGCCTGGACTAAAAGTAGTTCTTGTTTGTTACCAGATGGAGGTTTTGAACGATAGACAAGTCGTCTTCCCAGCTGAAACAAAAGAAAAAATACTTAGTATTCTTTAGCATAGTCTTTTTCTATTGAAGTATAAGGAAAATACTAATTAACTTCATTTTTTCCTGGGAATAATATGGTTTGAAATAGTAAATAGTCGGTTACAAGGGGATTGATCATTTGATGGATGTCCAACGTGGTGGACAAAACTAACAAGTGGAGGGCCGTAGTGTGCAGAAGTCAAAGCAGTTGGGTTTTACGGGAAGTGGGGGAGGTTTAAGGTAAAGTTGTTGTCTTAGACATGGTCAGAAAGAACCATGTTTGAAGCCACAATTCACTTCTCTGTGTCATAGATAGTTTTTCTTCCATTGGTTAGAAGAGATCCCTTTCTTCTGAGTACCAGTTGACCAGCATTTAAAAATCCTGTTCATTTTTGAATAAAAACTTGAGAAAACCATGTACTATCTTAAACACTAGTAATTCTGTGTGTTGCCACCAGAACAGGCTTAGGGAAATCCTTGGTTTCACACCTATTCATTCTCTCTGGAGCATATACTCAAGTATATCTTATCAATTATATTTGTCTTTTAGTCTTTTCCCTATAATCTTTTTTGTTTAGCTTTTACATCTGAGTTTGTGTCAATTAAATAGATGGAAAAAATCTATTGTTACATATTATACTGGAGGTGAGATTTGATGGGACATGTCCATTGTGTCCCAACAGGGGCATTATCTCGTTGTGAGACTGTCCCTTGCATTGCAGAATGTTTGACATTCCTAACCTCAGTGAACTGAATAACAGTGCCTATTCCCCCTGATTATACCAACAGAATGTCCTTGGGGGGGACCGTGACCCCTGAATTTCTTGTCTAAAATCAGAGTTTATTTTCACTGTCACTGATGTCCTTTGATAACTTTCATTATTACTGTCTGAAGTGTTGATGGGAGGAGACTACTTGGGGTGTTGAACACACAATTCAATATACAGGTAATGTATTGTGGAACTGTGCACCTGAAACCTATATAATTTTATTAACCAGTGTCACTCCAATAAATTCAATAAAAAGGAAAAAAAACTAAGAAATTTACAGTGAAGAAGTGTTCCAGCTGGGTAAGAACTATCACAGGTTTTCATATATTGTCAACTTATTGGATCACTGTTTTACTTTGAATTTTAGTTTTCATTGTCTTTTTCAGTCTATTCAATAAACATTTGTTGAGTGTCCACTGTGTGCCAGGCATTGGAGATGCAAAGGTCATAAAACTCATTCATGGTCTAGGAGAGAGATATTTAAGAATAACCACTTCAACGTTGTGGGTTTAGTGAAGAGTATATGCATGTGAGCACCGATGAGTGGTTAATTCTCCCTCGGGAAGAAGAGGGAAGTCACATGTTCATAGGAGGAGTCGAACTAGAGAAGTGTGGGCACTCTTTCAGATGAAATGCTTATTTAAACAAGAGAATGTAAAGTAATCATTGCTTTTTGACATACATATTTATAATTACCATATTTCGGAACTTTTTTCAAGTGCCTCAACAGGCTGGCAGTGAGGTGCACAAATAAGCATTCACTGTGGGTTAGCTTCTGGTCCTGACTCATCTTCCGAATCTGAAGTGACGCTGAGTTATGTATCATTGCAACTTAAGCTATAATCTCACTGTTTTTCTCTGGGTTCACTAGCTCCAATTGTCAAGTGAAAGGAGCAAGGTTCATAGCTATCACTTGTAAGATGAACATACACACATGCATAGGCTGTTTCTAGGACTGGGGTGAAACCGTTAGCAGTTGTGGCCTCCAGGGAGGGGAGCGGAGGAGAACTAAATTTTCACTGAATACTCTCTCATATCGTTTCAACTTTGAAACATATGCTTGTACTACCTATTCAAAAAATTAGTCTTTAAAATTCTCTGATTTCGTGAACCTGGAGTGAAAGAAAAAGGAGGGGACAAGTTTCTTTTACTAAAAAGAAGGCCTCATGGAGAACGGTTACCCAATAATTTGAATTATTCTAAAAATAACAAGGAACCAGAGAGAGACCAGTTGAAGCTGTGAGCCAGAAAGATTTCACTGACCTTTAGCCTGGATAAATTAGATGAATTAGACCACTTGTTTTAATACCATAGATGCACACACATGTGGCCGGACCTACTGATAACAAATCACAAACCTTTTTCTTTGGTTGTGCTACTGCTCTTTCCAGGGCAGCTCTCAGCCTTTCTTCTTGGTGTCTTTGTTTTTCTTTCATTTTCTCTTCACGCAACCTATGCAGAGGGAAAAGGTTCTAACTATAAATCACAAAAAAGACCTAAACAGTATTAATATTTGATAATGAACTATCAAAAATATTACAAGGTCTCCCTTAAGGTTCAGTGACATTACTAATTCATCTTCACACGTAGCTCTGGCTTGTGACTATTGGGGCCAAAGCCCGACAGCACATCCCAATTGTGTTGAAATGGGAAGAAGTTGCGTGTCACTGTTTTGGAAGAAGTAAAAATCCCTGTCTTGGTTTAAAGCAGCACCTCAGCCAAGCCTTCTCACCACTCACGTTTCAACACTTCACAGCTCCTCTGTGCCTCAGCCCCTTGAATTAGTTTCCAGTTATCCTCACCCCCCGTAAACCTTCATTACTGAAATATACAGAAGGGATCACGCATATAGTTCAACAAATTACCACAAATGTGTATTTCCCCATTAATCTTTTCAGATGGGACTCTCAACTTAAGACTGACCAATGCAGTTTGTCTTGTTTCCTTTAGGGCTGTTGTGAGGGTAAAATTAGATGAGATGGACCTAGGCAGTCTGTGTTCCAGGACCTGGTGGGGAATACGCATTCACTAGGTGATAGCTATTTTATGGGCCTTTAATTTTAAGTGTACATTTATCAGATATTTTTAATGCAGGATTAGTATTATGTTAGATGCTTCCGAACCATGGGAAAAATCAACTAAAATTCTCTTGATAAGAAAAATTAACAATTGGAATTAGATTCATGTGTCACTAACTGAAAATAAGTTGTTATTACCCTTGGATGACAATTTATTTTCTACTGTAAAAACATGTGTGTCATTATGTAATTAGTCACAGGTCATGTTATGGAAGGAGTCATCTTTCATGTATAATTTTTTAAAATTTGCTTTATGTTTGATATAATTCCATCAGGGTCACCTTAATATATTCTGGACTTCATTTTTATGTGGGGGAATCAATATCCCCCCTATACCAGTAATACAGTAAGCAATAACAAAATATCTAATATTAGTGGCTAATATTTGAGTACTTACAGTGTGCCAAATATGCTTTATTGCTTTTACATAGATCATTTAATTTAATCCTCACAACAGCACTACAAGTCATGATTGCCATTATTACTGCCATTTGAAAGATAAACTGAAATGTAAGAGATTATTTGGCTTGCCTAACGTCACAAAAGTTGTCAAGGTGGAGCCTGGATTGAACTCAGGTAGTTTAGCTCTCATGCACATACTCCTGGCCATAGTACTAGTCTGCCTCCCAACATTGCTATAATATGAACATTATTCCACTTACTAGTTAGCATTCTCTACATGCCACGTTATACTAGGGATATCATATATAATATTCATTGCCTCAAAGGTAGTGTATAACTTGGTATGGGAATTATTTGTAGATTGGTGCATTCTGAAAGTTCCCAAGCTAGGCAAGGATGTGGGTTTTGGGGGCGGGGCAAATTCCAGGGCTGTAATCCTCACGAGATTGTCTTGAGGATTGGAGGAATTGGTGTGTAAATGTGGTGCGTGGAAGTGCTGGGAGTTAGGCACAGAGGAAAACTTTCATTGCGTGGCTCTTCAAACAGTTCTTTCATAGATTGAGTCTCCCTGCAGTTTTCCAACGAAGGGCTTCTGATCTATATGCCTTGGGATTTTTCATCACAAGTACCATTCTTCCACATGATAGCTCCTCAAAAATGTTCATATAAATAGTGAATGTTCACCCTGAAAACTCACTTTTCCAGGCTAAAAGGACCCCTTAATCATCCCAAACTAGGTTAGTTGGTAAACTTTCTGGTCACCCAGTTCCCTTCCTTCACAGTGCTCACATTGGTAGTGGCACGTTCTTTATTTTATAAGAACGGGTGATGAGTGTCTCTGCACTAAATCATGGCTCTCCGGGGAGGGCAGGGCTGGCTTTGGTTCCCCCCACTGTGTCTGTGTGGTCATCCTTGCCATGTAAGAGAGAGCTTGCTAAATGTGGAATTCAGGAAAAAAAACAGCTACTCATAAAGTCATTCACTGCACTTATATAAGATATTGTACTTTTGCCGTCGTTCTTTCTGTTTTATCCTCTCAATTGCCTCCACATTCTCTTTGGGAATGGTTTCAATGAGATCACTCAGTTCCACCAGGCGAGACTCTATCTTTACTAGCTTTTGGACTGCGTTGAGGCTGCCAACCTCACCATCTCCGATGCAGACTTTGTACACTTGATTAATTTTTTTACTAAGAGAGTCTATCAGTTTTTCCTGAGGCGAGAAGAAAAGGAGAACAGGAAACAACCTCTCGTCACTATTTGCTTGGTCAATAAATGTCAAGTTCTGTTTTATTGTATTATAGTGAAAAGGGCTTTTTATATATGCTACCAAAAGTTTTTTTGTTTAAAAGAACTTCGATGCTACATAGAACAGTGAGAAAAATGCAGCAATGATATTTATAACAGTTTATAGTCAGATCGTTGCTATAGTAACAACTTGGCTTATTTTCTTTAAAGCCTGTTCAATCTAGGCCTAAAAAGTAATTATAATTGTAATCTTTTTGCTTGAATGTGTCTGTGCATCTGATTCCCTAAGCATTTAAGTAGAGGCAACATACACATTTTACATCCTATTTTGTTACTCCAGTACATCCTTGCAACACAGCTGTGAGCTCCTTTTTATTTTTATTTTTCGCACTTACTAGTCTAATAGCTAAAACTGTATAATCATCCTGTATGATAGTTTTTGCACGCATGCCTAATCTTCCTTTCTAGACTGTCAGCGCCTGAGGGGCAGGAGCTATTTCTTAGGTTGACATTTATATCTAAAAACCGCACCTTGCTCATAACTGTACACTTAATAAATGTTTGCTGAATAAATGAATGCATTCTGTTAGAATTAAAGAAAAGTTACAAGCAAACAGATTCCCAGGCTGACCTATAAAAGCCTGCAGAGAAGTTTAAGTTTCACTCGCTCCATTGGGAACCCACTGCAGTGTTCTAGTCTGTTAAAAACAGAGGCCTAGGCCAAACCTGCCGATCCCTGTACCTGGCTACTGCTCCATTTTAACTGGTGGTAGAACTGCTGGAGCTTGAAGATAACGTGTTTCGGGACCAAAATAAAACTGGCATCATTTTTCTTCAGTCTGTACTCGGCATTCGTAGTTAAGAGGATCTCAATAAAGTCCTGGGCCAATTTAATCGCTTTCCAGGGAGATTTCAGCCCCATTGCCTTCTGCTCGAGAAGATGAGAATCACCATGAAGCCAAGGACAAGTAACACTCAAGACAGATGTGACTCCTGGAGTCATGGGACTCCTTCCGGAGCCACCAGTAGTTACAAGATGTTACCCAGAGTTTACTTCCAGCAGCTCGTCTCCCACCTCCTACTTTCACCACCTTTTCCATGGGCCTGTTCACCATAAAGGGGCCTGTTCACCCTTTTTCTCTCTACAGTAATACTTACTGTATTTTCTGATTATATTAAAAGTAAGCTTTTTAAGAAAACTTGAAGTGTGAAATAATATAAAAGTAAAAAAAAAAAAAGCAAGTCCTACTTGCCGAAAAGCTCCTTTTTCCCTCACCATGTCTAAATAACATTTATTATATTTCCCATTTATATTAACCACACATTCCTTTAGAAATCTTTAGAAATACAGAAAAATATACAAGAAAAAAGTAACCCATCAAGGGGCTGAAATGTACTTAGGACATGAAAAACAATATTGCTGCAATGTGAGTCATTTTTTAAAACTGCAAGGAAGTCTGGTTCTGAGAAAAAGCAACTTTAATATGGGAATGGTTAGTTGATGGAAATTTCTGAAGGAGACCTGGAACACTTCAACATTTTGGAGATGGATGTGCAGTATCTTAAGTTCCTCCTGTCAAGCAAGAGAGGAAAAGACAAAGAGAAGAGTTTTCTTAAGGTACGAACAGCATGAGAAATAGGATTAGGGAATGAGGTGAAAGAAAATACCAAGAAAAAGAGATTGAGGGCCTGGATCAACCTAGAAGGGCAAAAAAAGATACAATACAGGCCTACTGATGACGGAAGCCAAGCGTCAGTCCAATCCCTAGGTCTGCCACCAGATGGCAGGCGGGGCCCAGAGCACCTCCAAGGAGTGGCTAGGAGGGGCGGGATTTAGTGCCTATTTCTGTCGTACAGTGGGGCAGGGTTTGGGAAGACTAAATAAATACCCAGATAAGAACTTCAGATACCTTCCAACAGAATGGTAAGTGATCTGACCAGAGCAATGTTTACAAGGAATAACTTATCAAAATTGGATAGGAATGAGGAGATGTCTGGATGTCATTTCAAGTTGCAACTCAAGGATTCTGTATTCTAATCCATGTCACATTCTATACTTTGTGTTTAATATAAACAACTCCCCCAACTGAACTGGATTGGCTCCCGGGAGGAAGGAAAATTAAACCAAAGAGGAATACATTCTGCAAACTGAGCAATAGAATAGCTTACATTCCATTTCATGTCCAATGAAAATGAAAAAACAGCTGCTACACAAGCATGGATGAATCTCAAACAGCGTTGAGACAAAGGAGCCAGGTGGGCCAGACATATTACACGATTCCATTTATATGAAGTTCAAAAGCATAAAATCCGACTGATGGTGGGAAAGGTGAGGGTAGTGGTCACCTTCAGGGGAGGATGCTAGTAATGGTCTCCTCCCTGAGGAAATTCTGTGAGAGATATATTTATGATTTGTGCACTTTTCAGTATTCCATTATACCTGAATTTAAAATTTTGTTATAAAAGTAATATTAAATCAATGAAAAATGTTTTAGAGGATCAGGTACAATTAGGAGTGTGGAAGTTTTGAAAGAATCAAATTTATAGTTATCATAGCTCCAAATAACTGATAATTTTGTGAATATCAAAATTAGGTACAACTATGTTTATTTACTCATAAAGGATTATGTTTTGCACATGTTGAGACCTAAAAGTATGGGAGTAGGCAAGCAAGAACGTTCTAAGAAAAGAATGCTTTTCTCCTGCCAATTTTTCTGCTCTCCTTCCCTTTCCACCCCGAATTGTACGTTAGAGTGTGATACTTGGAGGCCAAAACTACCTGCAACCAAAATCTCATGGATAGTCTTTTAGAAGTAAATTTCAGATAAACTGTACCTTCTTTGTTCAGGTTACCTTGAAGTTTCAGAGTATTGAAAATGCTGCTTGAAAAAAAAAAAGAAAATGCTGCTTTTTAAAATAGCTACCCTAACCTTGGACGAAAGGGGCTTGGTGTGAGGGAGGGGGGAAATATCACACTATCTTAATCTTTAATGTCAAGCGGCTTCAGAATTAAACAGAACTGAAGGATGGGAGCAACCCAGGGCTCCATCAACAGATGAATGGATAAATGTGGTAAATAGAGTATTTTTCAGCTATAAAAGGAATTCTGGCACATGTTACAACATGGATGAACCTTGAAAACATGCTAAGTGAAATAAGCCAGACACAAAAGCACAACTATTGTATGATGTAACTTATATACGGTACCTAAAATAGGCAAGTTTAGAGAGAAAGAAAGCAGAGATTTATCAGAGGCTGGAAAGAAAGAGGGATGGGGAAATACGGTTTTGTGGGTACAGAGTTTCTATTTGGGAATGATGAAAAATTCTGTCAATAGATAGTGGTGATAGTTACACAACATTGTGAATATACTTAATGCCACTGAATTGGACGCTTAAAATGGTTAAGTGGTAAATTTTATGTTATGCATATTTTACCACCATGAAAACAATGGTTAAAAAAAAACAGCATCGAAGAATCAAAAGATAGCTGTCATCACACTTCCTGCTCTAGCAGGGCACAGCTCTGTCCCCTCCTGACTGGGGGGGGGGGGGCTGTACCGCCCCAGGAAGTGTGTGTGTGGAAAGGGGAGCTTTTTGTGACCCTGCTCGCCTATGGATAGGGAAGCGCCGTCATCCGATAATACAGTTCCCCCAAATCTCCTGCTTGAAGATCAAGTTCATAACCATAAATGTGATGTTAACCTCACATATTAGCATGAATTTTCATTTTATTTGGGATTTTTACAAGAAAACCAATGTTTGCTGGAGTTGTGGGTCTAGAAACCTAATCATTCATTCAACAAACATTTATTGAGCACCTAGTTTAGGGACACTAAACTTAGCTAAGAAGGGTAAGAAGTCCCTGCCCTCAAGGGGTTTGCATCCAGCTGAGAGAAACTGATGTGCAAATCAATGAATACATTAGTGTGTGTTACAGGGGCTCCGATTATGAACCATCCATGCAGGACCAAGGAGGCCAAGACCTCTTATAAGCTCATTGTTGGTCAAATATTCCATTCAGTGTTGATTCAGAGTCTCTTAATTATTTGCTCCTTAATTACTATCCAAATGATCAGAGGCAGTGAGCTACTTCAATATGTATACACTCTCACTAGAAGAAAATGTATTTATAGAGGGAAAAATTCAACATCATACTTTGTAATAATTAGAGCAACATTTTAAGAGAACCTCGATGCCAATTTGAATGCTTTCTATCTACCATGTAAACTGACTTATGTACAGACAAGATCATTCCAAGCTGGTTTTCTGCCTTTGTCATCAGCTTGGGACTTGTGATTTCCTTTCATCCTCCTGCCCCAACACTTGGTATGCAGGGAGTGCACATCGTCATCGCGAGCCAAATAAAATTACCATGGGCAAAAAAGGCTTACCTGGGCTTCTGAATTAAATTCTCCAAAATTAAACAGCCTGGACCTTAATTCCAGTTCCGCTGCTTTTTCCTCTTCTCTCAGACAGTTGGCCTTAAGCATTTCCTTGTGCTCTAAAAGAAACTCTATGTTGCTATTTCTATGGCAAAAGAAGAAAGAAACGCTTCTCTGTAATGTGTGGTGTGGTGAGATAAACCATCAGTCAGGAGCTTCAACACTCCTTCCGGATCGTGCGTTAGCATCCTGTAACTAGCAAGCCAAATCTGAGGCTAAGACATAGCCAAAGTACATGCAACTTTTCAGGTTCAAGTGAGAAGGAAGCAGTCTGTTTATAACTGCCATGAGGAAGCAGTCTTCCTCTCTACTATTGTCATTTTGAGGTCCTCCATCCCTGCTGCCCCCCATGGAGGGGAACAAAGCTGAGGTGTTGAGAGCTCAGGGTGTGAGATCCGATTTGTTCGTGTTCTCAAACATCTGGGGAGCCAGGGCTACAAACAGACTCCTGGATCTATCTGAATCTATAAGATTCTATCTGAATCTCTAGGGGAGACTCCCTCCCCTAGAGATTCAGATAGAGATCTGGAGGTAGAATCTGACGCAGACCCCCTTTTCCTGCCCAGCCATTCCCAGCCCCAAATCATATCAATCATATCGTCAGGGGTAAGGGGCCAATAGCTGTGAGGACTGGGAAGGGGAGACATGGACTAAAGGGATACATTAGTGGTAACAGGGCTGTGAGATGGTTTTTAGGATCCTAACTTCTAAACAAGTTAGTTTGTTCCAAAGTGTAATGTAGTTTGACATACTATTTAAAAAGATTGCTGTCTTCTGGCCCAGCAACTGTTTGGAAAAAGGTTCTATACGTTTTTATGGTGGGTATATATAAAGATCTGTTCTCTGTGACTTGAAGCTGTTTTCCAAAACAGTAATAATACACAGTTTTACAACAGGACTTTTGTGAGTCATCAAAGCCAGCGTCCTTCCCCTGACAGAAATCCCTTCCCATCGAGGCGCTAACATATTGGCGTGTGTATTACAGAATGACAACACGGGTAAGCCGTTTTGCTGAGGACAGTCACAGCTGAGGAAGATGCACTTGCGAGCATTATCTTTGGAAATGTGATTTGATTGGCCAGATGATTGGGTACAACTTGTAGGGAACAAAAATTAAGGCGGTAGGGGACACATCGGTTCTTTTTAATCTTTTGTTATAGTTAGCTAGGAAAATATTTTGACAAATGAAGGGAAGTAGGGACTAAAACTAAAGCCAGTCTATTCTGTGTAAATATTCAACTCTGTACACTCCACAGTGGAAACTATGAATACAATTTTCACCCTAAATAGAGACCACGAGAAAGGACTGCACATGAATACGTAGGATTTTTGTCTCTGGTTAGAAATTGCTTAATAGAATAAACCTTGTTTTTAATGACTTACATTTTATCCTGTATGAGTTTCTCTCTTTTATTCACATCTTCAAGATTCTCATCTACATCCTGAGAATATTGGACCAAAGTAAGATTCTGCTCTTCCAACTCTTGGAGGACTTGAAGCAGCTCTTCTGGTTCTTTGAAATAAAGCTCTGGCTCCTAATCAATCAATAATGAAAAATATAGTTTAGAAATATGCTGTCTATATACATGGGAATTCTCTAGAAAAATATGTTCTGGAATATGATTCTGTTTACAAAGGAGAGATGGGTAGAGAATGGCAAAGGAGTCGATTTCCACATGAGAGCTGGCCCTCAGGGAGAGGATATTGAGGTGTTGCGGGGAGATGAAAGGTGTTGGGTGAAGAGAAGAGGGTGAGGAAAAGAGAAAAGCAAGAATGGCCAGAAGAGGCAAGGGAGAAGAAATAGTAGGAAGATAAAGATGGGGTGAAGTGAAAGTCATCTTTTTCCCACATTTAGTCATTTTATATTTCCAAAATTTTGGGAATAAGTATGTTTTATTTTAAGTAAATTTAATTTTTGAAAAGATAGATATTTATACACCCATATTAATCATATTTTCTATAGCCAAGGGGTGGAAACATGTCAATGTCTCTCCATGAATGAATGAATAAAGAAAATTGATGGGGGCGGTGGGAAGAAGGGGAAGGACCAAGAACACGTATAAAGAACTCATGGACAAAGACAACTGCGGGGGGGGGGGGGCAGGAGAGGATTGAATGTGGGAGGTGGGGGGAGGGGAGGGCAGGGGAGAGTAATGGGGGGAAAATGAGGACAACTGTAACCAAGCAACAATAAAAAAAAAAAGAAATGTGGTATATTCATACAATGGACTATTAACCTTAAAAAGAAGGAAATCTTACAACATGGATGAACCTGGAAGACATGCTAAGTGAACCCAGTCACAAAAAGTCTAATAGTGCACGATTCTACTTTTATGAGGTCTGTAAAGTAATCAAACAGAACAGCGGTTGCCAGGGTCTGGGGGGATCGGGGAGCTGCCCAGTGAGGGGGAGTCTCAGCCGCACAAGATGAGAAGGCACAGAGGCCTGTCGCCCCGCAGTCAGCGCCACTGGGCCGTACAATGAGAAACGGTTAAGGCGGTAAATCTTATGTTATGGTTTTTTACTATAATTTAAAGGGATGGGTAAGGTATATTTTATATACATATTTTATATAATAATGGATGGTGTTTTTAAGGGTTTTGGGGGTTTTTTTAGATCTTTTGAGTTTCTACAGTTGTATTTAGGGCAGGGTTAGCTCAAAGGCAGTCCTGTAGCTGTGAAGGGCTGTTTGCTCCAAGGTCAATCTACCTGACAGTTCAGCTGCTCAGTATGTCTGAAGCCTCGATAAAATGATGGGCAGTCAGGTCGGGAAGTGGCTGCTTCTTACAGGACGACTGTCATATACATCCCCTAAATTATCACCTATTTATAGACACTTTTCATAAAATATCTGATGACAAAGTTGAACTGCATGTATAATTGGGGAATAGTATCAAAATTGTATTTTCTCCTGGAAAGTTGTGGAATATTTGGAGTAGGGAATTTTAACTTCAAAAGAAAAAAATGCGTCAAGAAACATAACATGTTTACCAGATCGTAGTCCAACTCCTCATCTAAACTGTCTTCCGAACTTACACTTGCAGATCTGCTGTGAAAGAAAAGGAAAATACCTGATTTCTGAGCCATTTTCTGTCCACAGACTTGCTTTCACTCCTAAATCTTCCTTGGAAACCAACTATAACATAGTTTGTTTTCAATAGCCCGTTTAGCCTTTTAAGGACCTTATTTCAGGAATCCATGGATTCCATGACTTTGTTAAGGGGAAGCAGACTCACCCAGACAAGGCTGATGTACAAACCAGGAGACCATGACAAAGGGCTGCACCTCACAATGCCTGGGATTTGAGGTGCATCAACAGAGTAAGGTCATTTGTCTTAAAAAACACATGACAACCCACATTGCCACATCCATTCTATACATTTTCAATCTTCTTGAAAAACTGTATGTGCCCTAGTGCTCAAAACAAAGCTTGTACCCTGAGTAATAAAACATTTGTGGTTTTTTTAAAGAACATATTTTCATTAAAAATATCTTCCAAAGAGGAAATGTTGGCCAGGGTATGGGTGATAAGATGCATGCTTGAACAATTACATGGCTTGCAAAGGGGCTCTGCAAAAATTCTTTAAGAAGGATATATTGAAAATGATGGGAACGTAGAGAAGCTGGAACTTGGTATTTCTCAATCAGGTCGCATTCATAGATAACATGGGTCAAGAATTTAACATATCTTTTTAGCAGACATAATTCAACCTCTAACAAGATTTAACATAATTCCTATCATAATACCAGCAAGATTTTTTTGTTGATATAGATGAGACTATTCTAAAATTTATATGGAAAGACAAAGGAACTAGAGTAGTTAACGTAATTTTGAAAAGGGGGAATAATGTAAGAAGAATCGGTCTACCTAATGCCGAGAACACAGCTGTAGTAGTCGGGGCCGTGTGGTGCCAGCAGAGGCCAATGGACAGAACAGAAAACCCAGAAAGAGGCCCGAGTTAATGTGCCCAGCTGGGTTTTGACACAGGTGCCAAAGCGATTCGCGTGGAAAAGCCATTTCAATAAAGGCGATGAGACAAGTGACATCCACAGGCAACTAGAACCCCAACTCAATGTACACCTCATCCCTGTTGTACCAAGAACAACACAAATGGATTACAGACTTAAGGTCGATAAAAAACTTTTAGAAAGGAAACTTGAAAAACATCTTTGGGACCCAGGGCTAGGCAAAGAGTTTTAGGCTTGACATATAAAGCATGATTTATAAAAGAAAAACTGATACATTGGACTTCTTCCAAATAAAAGACCCTCTTAAGAGGATGAAAGGACAGTCTACAGACTGAGAGAAGATATTTGCAAATCACAAAGTCGCAAAGTACTGGTACCTAAATATATAAAGAATTCTCAAATGCCAACAGTTAACCCAGCCACTTAGGAAATAAGCAAAAGACAGGAACAGACATGTCACCTAAGAGGATCTAAGGGTGTGAGCAAGCACGTGACAGATGCGCAGCACCACTGGCTGCGATGGAAATGCAAATTAAGGCCCAATAAGATACACGCAGCTGTCAAAATAGCTGAAATGGGAAAGTCGTGAAGTACCAGGTACTGGCGAAGAAGGAAACAAACAATCCCTCGTCCATCGCTGGTGGGAGTGTAACGTGGCATTGCCACTCAGGGAAACAATTTGGCAGTTTCTTTCAAGACTGAATTTGCATCTACCACCCACTCAGCAGTTGCATTCTAGGTATTTAATCCCAGAGAAATGAAAACCATGCTATACAAAAAGTTGTATAAATTCAGTTACAGGAATTTAATTCACTATAGCCCCAAACGGGAAGCAATCCAGATGTGTTTCAGTGAGTGAACAGCTGAGCTGTCGTGTGTCTATGCCGTAGAACACTGCTCGGTGGTAAAAAGGAACCAACTGTGGATCGACCCAACATCTTGGACTGATGCTCAGAGAATTGTGTGCGGTAAAACGCCCAGTTCTAAAAGGTTACACACTGTGTAATTCCATTTATGTTACATTCTTGAAATGACAAAAATCAGAAATAGAAAACAGTTCAGTGGTTGCCAGTGGAGGGAGGGACGGCGATGTGACTACAGAGGGGTGACGTGAAGAATCCTGGGGGCACACTCTGTATCAGACTGTCTCCTGACTATGAACGCCAGTGTCCTGGCTGTGGTATTATAGGACCGTCTTGTAAGATGTTACCTTTGGGGGAATCTGGGTAAATGGTGCATGGGATCTCTCTGTATTATTTTTTACAAGTATATGTGACTCTACAATTACCTCAAAACAAACATTGAATTAAAAACAAAACCAAACCAGTGACTGCTAACTGCCACGGTGCCCCTGGAATTCAGAGCAGCATCTGTGTTGACATTTGTCATGTATGATATGACTGCTGTGGATTCCGTGGTGCTGGCCCAGAGCCTTCCCTCGGGACAGGTGTGCCCAACCTGGACATCAGTATATTTTCTTAAAGCTTCCTGGGTCAGGTAGGGTGGAAAGAAACAAAAATGCTTTATAGTCCTACGGGGCAGCAATTTTGAGTGATGTGAACTGCAAACACTCAGAGCAGCACAGTAACTTAACAAACAAATAAGTGAGCAGTAGATTCTGAGAGGCAAAGACCCAAGATGCAGGGGCAGGAAGTTTCTGCAGACACCAGCTGCAGACACTGCTCAGAGAATGCAGGGAGGCCTGTAAGAGCTCAGTCCGCTCAGGAGCACACAGAAATGGCAACCATTACCCCCAGCATCCCGCAGTGGGTGTGGCTGCCTGGTCTGCATGTTGAAGAAAGGCTAAAAGAGGTATTTGCTGAAAGACATTCAGCAAATGGGTTTATCAAGTATGCACTTTACTTTGATATGGACGTCTTGCTTTTCTCCACGGCGCGAGCGGACTCCTTGCGTGGTTTTCCTGTTTGCAAGTCCGTGTCGTTGGCAATGGTGGAGGTGAAAAGAAATAACATATAATTAGAAATTAATCTTTGTTATTTGGTGCAAGATATTCATTGTTCTGCGTAGATATGCCCATTACTTTAAAAAGGACCAGAATTATATTCATAGAAAATAGAGCTCTTTTAGTCTACTGAAACTGGATTACAAGTGTAAGAATAAAATTAAAGGCACACTGGTGTTGGGAGGGGCGTTTGTCAAAAACAATACGAGTCACAAAGTCAGGGACATAAATTGTGAAATAAAAGTCATGGTTCTATTTCTACCTAATCATATATATTCCTAATCACAGAATTTTTTTAATTGGGAGGAAAAAAGCGGTGAACACTTCAATCAGTACATCTTGTGGGGAGCCCTACCTTCGCCACACACAAGGCGGCCACGCTCTCGCTCGCCCCGCATCTCCACGCGCTTGGTCTCCACACATCAGTGTCTACGCCTCAATCTGATCTGACTCTGAGCAGCGGGCAGAAATGGTCTCGGGCCGTTTCACCCCCAGGCGCCCCGGGTCCTCTTCCTCACACCTGCACTGTCACGACTGCAGCCTGGCTTTCTGCTCCTCTGTGTCGGCAGCGCAGCAGGCCTCGCTCACCCCACCCGCTTTCCCCTGTCAGCTCACAGGTCCTGGATCTCCGCTCTGAGAAGAGCACCTGCTCTGGTTTTACTTTTGTGAGTGAAGTTCCGAATCTCTTGTGTTACCTTGGTTGCCTGTTCCCAAGGAGTAGTCATCCAAAGTCGATGTCTTTCTGACGTCCTCAGCACTGCCCTCTCCCATCCTTGCATTTAATTCTGGAAATAGAAGAGAAAGGGAGGGGAGAAACGTTCCTGAGGATAGCTTCGTCTGAGGGAAGACAGAGTTATTGTGAAAGCTTCCAGGGGCAGAAATGTAAGATGGGGACATCATGACCAGCCAATGAATGAGGTAGACGGCAAGGGCTAGTCTCTGGAGCGGGCAGAATGGATGGGACTGCCCTGCAGAATGGATGGAAAATAGGAAGTCTCTATTTCCCATGTCAGTCTGCCGCAACCTCCAAAATCCCAGTGCAGGCCATCCCTGCCCTGGACTGAGCAGCCCATGGCTTTCTGAGCGTCCTCCAGTCAGAAGGCCAGGCTGGGAGCACTGAATCGTAAGCTGTTGGGTGCAAATACTTCCCACTTTTCCTTTCCACTTGTCTTTTCTTTTGCCAGATGTCATCATTGTGCTCCCTCAGTATTTCATACGCATTGATCCAGTTTAATCCCACCCAGCAGTGAAAGCGCAGGGGGACTGGGCAGGGCAGCCATCGGTGGTGTGCAAGTAAACGTTTAATAACCTCTCTCTGGGAGAAAATTCTCCCCGATTTGTCATTGACTGATTCCTCTGATGTGAATGTTCTTACTCCAGAGTCTCAGGATCAGCTCTGAGCTGAGGAATTTGCAGGGCTCCAGAGCGCTCTGCATAGCTCTCCCCTCTCCAGGACTCTGCTCTTGAGCACGCCAGCCACTGTGCCCGCCCTGGGTCCGCTCTGTCGTTTCAATGCGTGGGCACTGCTGCACCCACCTGGGCGCCCCCTTCCTCAGCTGCACCCGGGGAACTCCCCAGGCAGTACCCTGAGGCCGTGGGAGGGCTCATCGCGCTTGTTCCCTCTCCCTCCCCCTCCGGGATTTACTGTGCAGCACTCCTGATGTCCGGTGTCTGGAACTGCTGCTTCACACGTTTTTCAGACTTTTCAGGCAGGGGGGTGTCTGGTTCTCGTTACCCCAAAGTTACTAGAAGTGGAAGTCTTCCCTGATGACCCCACTTTGATTGTTTATTAAATTCTTATATAGAATAGGATCTATTTCCCTTCATTGAGCTGACTTCCAAACACCACTACCATACTGTTTTAATTTCTGAGACTCTGTGATATGTTATATATTTGAAGGATTGTAGCAGGGAATCAATATGCTATACTTCTGTAAAGCCATCCAAGTGAATCTTAGTCGATGTTAAACCCAACTTGTTACTCTAACCTGATTGTTCTCTCAAAACTGGACCTTGCATGTTAAAAGCGGGGTTTTTTTAGGGTACTTTGCGGCTCAGCAGCTTCAGTTCCTGTGTGAACCAGAGGAGCAGCCTCCGGCCAACACCAACGGCTCAGACGCAGGGATGCAGCTGGGAAAACCCTGACGGCCAGCTCAGGGGCACTGAACACCCGTGAAAACCCCACGTTCAGACCAGAAAGGGCACTGCCTGCACATCCAGAGCTCCTGGCCCCCCCGGGGTCTCTTTATTCCACTTCCCAGGTGACTGGCACTGGAACACGCCTCTTTCCTTCTCCCCAGCACCTGTATCTCGAGTTTGGCTTTTGTTGTGCCAGGTAGCCGAACCTCGGTTCGGTTACTGGGTTGGTAACAGCTCCCCTCTCCATCACCTCCTTCCTTCAAAAGGACTTAGCTTCTAGATGGGCCTCAGAATCACTGGATAAAGTTCTCCCCAGCCCAACACCCAAGTCCCTGACAAATTTTTGGTCACATTTTTATTATAATTCCATAAAACTTACACATCAATTTCAGAAAAATAGGTAGCTTTACAATTCAATCTTTCTATCTAAAAACATGACATATTTCTCTGTTTGTCAAATCTCCAGGTCACACAATTAAGTTTATTGTTGCTTTCCTGGATTTGATTTCCTAGTATGTCTCTTAATTAATAAAGTTAGTTTGTTTAGGTTAATATGGTAGGCTAATAAATATAATTGACTTGGTGTTCATTTACTCAAATTGTTTTTCAGGTTTTTATGTGTGGGAGGTTCTAAGTATGCTACTGGATCATCTGTGAATAATATATTTTCTATGCCTCCATGTATATATTTGTATTGCTTTATATCTGTCATTAACCTGAGTTTCCAAATTAATAATATATAATATCAGAGACAGTAAGAATTCTTGTTCAGGTAGTGCTTGAAACATTAACTACTTAATAAATAGCAAACAAACATTGAAGTGGGACATTTAGAATGAGGGATACTTCCTGAAATTAAGGATGTGACTCACTTGTTGATATTTTGGGGAGACCACCATCCATATTTTCTTTACTCTTTGACACCTGTACCCTTTTCAGTGCTTGCTGGATCTGCCATTGCTTTGGAGACAATTTCAGCAGAAAAAGTCCGTATTTCATGTACTCTTTCAAAAGGAATTCTGCTTTTGATATTTCACTGCTCAAAGGAAATGAAGATATGATTAGACACATGTGTGTGAAAGCATATCCTTTTTTTACAAAAAAGTTTTACAAAATTTATTCTTTTGATTAGGTACTGACTTAACAAAAATTCTAAGTGTAGCCATAAAGATATAGGCAGCAGTAAGATATGAGATGAAAAGAAATAACCTCTAGGAAATCCATTGGAATAAACATGCCCCCGGATATGCACAGTTAAGACTGGTGCATAGTTTGACTTGACTTCTTTCTGAAGGAAATGTTGTATTAAGTGTGAGACACAGGAGAGATTTGAAGGCACTTGATACTTGTATGATAAGAAATTTGACATTCAATAGCACCCACTACATACTGGGAAATATGCAGGACACACTCTAGACACAAGTTCATCTTCAGTACAGCACTTTAAAATATGCATGACTGCCCTGGCTGGTGTGGCCCAGTGGGCTGAGTGCCGGCCTGAGAACTGAAAGGTCGCTAGTTTGGTTCCCAGTCAGGGCACATTTCCCGAGTTACAGACCAGGTCCCCAATTGACCTGAAAGAGGCAACAAATTGACATTTCTCTTCCTATCTTTTTCCCTCCCTTTCCCCCTCTCTATAAATGAATAAATAAAATCTTTTGCCTGGCTGCGCTCAGTGGATTGAGCACAGGCCTATGGACCAAACAACTGCAGTTCACTTCCCAGTCAGGGCACATGCCTGGGTTGCAGGCCAGTTCCCAGCAGGGACCGTGCGAGCGGCAACCATACATTGATATTTCTCTCCCTCTCTTCTTCCCTTCCCCTCTAAAGCTAAATAAATCAAATCTTTAAAAAATATGTTACATTTAAAAATTAAAAGTTAAAATAGGCATTATCACCCTATCTTTTGGAGGAAGACATGGATGACTGGCAAAGCCACCTGTCCGACAGACGGCGGAGGCAGCACTGCCCTGAAGCCTGGACTGAAAGCCTTTCCCCAGCCTCACCTGGCTCTCCCACAATCGTGTTCCGAAGTGGACCCAAAGGGATTGTTTACAGCAGCAGCGAAGGCCCTCAGGAGAGCAAGCCCCACCCTCCTCCTTCAGAGGCTTCTTTAAACACTCACTCTTCGGGGACTTCGGCCAAGATGGAGACATAGGTGGAGACGCCGTGCCTTCTCCCACAACCAAGTTTAGAGACAACTAAATATTAGCAACAGAAAACACAGCCAGAACACAGAAAATTGAACTTTTTGGAAGTCTGATAACAACAAATTCTTCAGCCTGACTGGTAAGGGGCGAAACCAGCAGCTGGCAGAGTGGGGTTGCACAGGAAAACTCGGTCAGACGGACTCAGGCGCAGGGTTGGACCTGGTGGGCAACTCAGCGAGCGGCCGTGGGGAAACAGCGAGGGAGCAGGCCTGCGGGTTGACTGTGGTGGCGCATTTGTGTGCGGATAGACAAGAGAGGGAGTGGGCGATTGGACTGGGACCCAGCGGGTCCCCGCGGCTAGTGGCAGCGGAGGGCTCCGCCGCCATTTCCCAGCTCTGACCCCACCTCCACATACAGCGTCATAACCCAGCGACTCTGAGTGGCCCGGCCCAGGTGAACCACCTAAGGTTCTGCTCCTCACCCAGCGACACAGAATAGCAGAGGGGGCCGCCATTTCCCTGCTCTGACCACGCCCCCACATACAGCGTCACAACCCAGCGACCTGGGAGTCGAACGCTCCGCTCCGCACACTTAAAGGGTGCGAACAGACCAAAAATGGCTCAAGAAGATCTCAAAGCCCCAGAGCCTATAAATCTAAGCAATGAAGAAATAGCAAAACTCTCAGACGCACAGTTTAAAACACTGGTCATCAGGATCCTCAGAGAACTGGTTGATTATAGCCACAAATTAGACAAACATATGAAGGCAAAACTAATTGAAATGAATGGAATTGTACAGGAAACCAATAGCGATGAAAAGGAAACTGGGACTCAAATCAATGGAGTGGACCAGAAGAAAGCAAATAATGGTCAAACAGAAAAGAGTGAAGAAGCAAGAATTCAAAAAAATGAGGAGAGTCTTAGGAACCTCCAGGACATCTTTAAACACTCCAACATCCGAACTATAGGGGTACCAGAAGGGGGAAAGGAACAGCCATCAGTGGAAAATTTATTTGAACAAATAATAAAGGAGAATTTCCCCAATCTGGCAAAGGAAATAGACTTCTAGGAAATTGAGGAAGCTCAGAGAGTCCCAAAGAAGTTGGACCCAAGAAGAAACACACCAAGGCACATCATCATTACATTAGCCAAGATTAAAATGAAGGAGAGAATCCTAGAAGCAGCAAGAGATAAGGAGACAGTCACCTACAAAGGAGTTCCCATCAGACTATCAGCAGATTTCTCAAAAGAGACCTTACAGGCAAGAAGGGGCTGGAAAGAGGTATTCCAAGTCATGAAATCTAAAGACCTACAACCAAGATTGCTCTATCCAGCAAAACTTTTATTTAGAATGGAAGGACAGATAAAGCGCTTCTCAGATAAGATCAAATTCAAGGAGTTCATCATCACCAAGCCCTTATTATATGAAATGTTAAAGGGACTTACCCAAGAAAAAGAAGTTAAAAAAACATGAACAGTGAAAGGACAGCAAACTCAGTTATTAACAACCATACCTAAAACAAAAGCAAACTAAAAGGACAGCTAGATCAGGAATGGAAACATAGAAATGAAGATCTCAAGGAGGGTTAGCAACAGGGGAGTGGGAGGAGGAGAAGGGGGGAGAAGGTACAGAAAATAAGTAGCATAGACAGTAGATAGAAAATAGATGGGGGGCAAGAATAGTATGGGAAATATAGAATCTAGAGAACTTGAGACACATGGTCATAAACTAAAGGGGGGGTAATGGTGGGGATGGGGAGGTAGGGTGGAGGGGAATGAAGGGGGGAATAGAACAACTGTAATGGCATAATCAATAAAAAATAATTTAAAAAAAACACTCACTCTTCGATACCCTTATCAATATTACTCCTATATCAGTGTCTTCACGTCAGTACTGCTTTCGGTCAGAGCCTTCCTGAAGCCCTGGTGTGTGAGTGATGTTTGAGAGTCAAACCTGGGTGTTTTAAGTATCTCAAGAATCTCACAGATCACCAATCGCAAATATGGATATATTTGCGGCTCCCAAGCAGGGGCTTTGGAACGAGCCCCCTCCCCCTTCGCGCACGGATTTCCAGGCCTCCCCGCGGTGGAGGACCAGGGTGGGCCCTAACGAGAACGGAGGGACACGGAGAGCGGGCGCCTGCCTGCCTTGCTCTGTTACCGGCTGGTTTTTTATTACCTTCTTCACCTTGCTGAGAATGTGAGATGCAAAAACAATCAGCAAGTTCTCTTCAGAAAGGCTGGGTGGAGTGTTTAACTGGGTGGCCGTTGTGCATGAATGCGGCACTTTGTTCAAACGTAAGGCTGCTACTCCAGTTCTGTAAGCAGACAGGATCTTCTTGTGACATTGTGGTGTGAAGGAGGGAAGGGAATTCTCCAGCTCGGAGTGCCTTCCACTGGGCTCCTGACATGGGCGAGGCTGCTGGAGCCAGAACGTGTTTGAAATATACATTTTGTTCATAACAATTGGTTTCAAAGGAACTGCCCTCCAGTTCATTTGCTGCATTTTAGACAACCTCCTCTCCTCCTCCCCAGAAAAGTCAAGATGTTAAAAAAAAAAATAAGTCTAAGTCTAGGACTTGGCTTTAGAGCAAAACTAAACATCAAGTCCTCAAAAAGAGAAAACAGCATTTAGCATGCTTCGAAACCAAGACTAGAGTCCCCTGCACCATAAAACTGCTGTCCAAGGATGATGACAAAAGAAGCTTCTTTAGATAATTAAAATGAGATCAAGTGAGGTACATCTGACTGTAGAAGAAAACGTCCAGGTTTGGGGAGTGGGGGAAGTGCCAGACGGTACAAAAATTTTATCTCCAACTCCTGCTCCTTTGTTTTCATCATTATAGATCCATTTTTAATATCAATGCTAATTCATCTAAGTATAAGGATAAATAAAAAAATACTGCCAGCTATAATGACAAGATAATTTTTTTAAATTAAAATTCCTAAAATTCCTTTTAGGAATCTCCACTGCAGAGATATTAAAATGTGGGAAGAAATATGCCATAGAATGAAAGAAAAAGGACACTTAGAAGATAATTTGTTTGTTCCTGACATTGGTTTTCTTCTTTGCAACTGAATTTCCTGGTTTCTATATTGACAAGTTGGAGAAACTCTTCAGCCAGAGATCACTGTGCCGTCCTAACACCCACTCAGAGACAGTCCTTGGTCAGTGGGGCGCTCACTTTAAAAATGTGGTCGTACCCTGGCTGGTGTGGCTCAGTGGACTGAGCGCCAGCCTGGGCACCGGGCCTCACCTTTTCACTGCCTGCACCTCCAGGCTCGCTTTTTTCAGCTCAGCCGTCATGTGGAGTTTGTTCACAGTCTCTTGGGCTGCCCTGGAAAGTAACAGAGATTTGTTAGTTTGTGCTGTGTTGTGCTGGGTTCTGAGGAACTGAAAAGAAGGCAGGGGGAGGTAGAAAGCGACTTGGTGAGAGGAAAAGAACGCACACTTTCAGGGCGTCCACAGATCGCCGGTCGTTTTCTCGCAGGAACTCTTCGAAGGCGAGCGCGTCGTCCTGGAGCTTCGTCTCTGCTTTCAGGATCTGCTGCTCCTCCGTTTCCATGCACTTCTCGAACTTGGTGATGGTGCTCCTTTTGGTGGACAGCGTGTACTAGGAATATTGGGAACCGAAGGCATCGAGCCCGTTACTCCAAGCGGCCTGCACATCTCAACAGTCCCTCAATAAAGGGGAAGATGGCCTGCCCTGGGAGTGGTCATTCGGATCAGAAAACTAGTATGCCCAAATCCTGGGGCCATGGCCTTTATTTCATGGAGGAATTTTATTTGGGAGATAATTAGAAGGGAGGCTAATTCCTCTCTCACTTTCATGAAGAGGTTCGATATTGTTCCAGAGTGGCTGGGCCCCACAAAAGTAGCTCCCTATTGCTCCAAGAGCAGGCCCACCTGTATTGCCCTCAGCGCCCCTCCAGTGTTTTCTGTGCATGGGAGAGCTGGGCTGCGGGCGGCTTCTCAGGCCCCTGCCCCGGGAAGCACTGAGGGAGAGGCAGGCTCCGGAGCCGCCAGGCCAGTGGTGGGTTCCTCCGGGCCGGCCCGGGGACGGGGCACTCGGCCTCAGAGAGCCCAAGTCCAACTGTGACGTCAGCTTCTACTTTTTAGTACAGGACACAAGAATCCACTAGGGTTTTTAATCCCATGCATGGAAAACAGACTACAAATAAACATTAACTATAGACTATAATGTAAACATTATAATATGCATTAACTAAAACTATGTAAATGAGATCATTAAAAAAACACAGCCAATAACTAGATACTCCAAGTTTATAACAAAAATCCTATTTCATTTATCACTTTATTCACCAAGAATTTGTTGAGTGATTACCGAGTGCCAGGGCTGTTTCAAGTGGTGTTACTGAAGCAATGAAAAAAATAAGCAAAATTGCTTTTATGGGGTACATTTGCTAATAGATGGAGAGTCTAATAAAGGAGGATGGGGAGTCCAGTGGGTAAGGGCCAGGATCGCCATTGTGTTCGGGGGAGGAAAGCCTCCGTGGGGTGCTGACAGTGAAACACACTGGCTGGAAGGAAGCGGGGAGCAAATAGGAGGCAGCAACGTTCCTCCGAGAAGGGAGGGCCTCTGTGCACAGGCTCCGGGGCAACAACCCGGTCGATGTGTCCCAGGAACAGCAGGGAGGCCAGTGAGTCCGGAGCAGGTGGAGCAAAGTGAAGAGTGGTAGGAACATCAGACAGAGAGAGAGACAGAGAGAGAGAGAAAGTGCTGGGCACCAGGTAGGTCACTAATGAATGGTCTTCAGCAGAAGAGGGGCGTGGGTGGGAACAGACTCCTGGTGCTGAGTGGAGAATTCATGCAGGAGATACTGGTGAATGGACTTAGAGTGGCAGCAGTGGCAGTCATGAAGAGTAGTGTGATTATGGATATATTTGCACAAAATATTTGAAAGTGTATTTGGATATGGGTTGTAACAAGGTGCATTGGAGGATAACTCTGATATTTTTGGCCTAAAGAACTGGAAAAATGGGCTTGCTGTTCACTGAGCTAGGGAGTACTACATGAGATGCAGGTTTTCAGGGGTCCAGAAGAGTACAGCAGGGGTCAAGTCTTAGAAATACCTTCTGAGCATCTGAGAGGAGATATGAAGAACTACAGTCGCATTGGTGAGTCTGGAGTTCAAGGAAGAGGGTCAGGCTACAGAAGGAAATCTGGAAGTTGTTAATAAGGAAGCAGAATTGAAAGCCATGGCCTGGAGGGGCGTAGTGGACCACAGGTGAGGAGCAAGCCCTGGGATGTTCCAACATCTAGAGAGCGAGGAGAAAAGGAACAGGAAGGGAAAACTGTGAAGGAGTGAGCAGCCCGTGATGTCGAAGAACCAAGAGAGAGTGGGTCCCGGAAACCAGCTGAAGAAAGTGTTTCTAGAAAGAGGAAGTGATCCAACAATGGATACACCGCTGCTAAAAGACCAGTGAGAGGAAGCCTGTGAAGTGACCATTCTAACTCGGCAAAAGCGGTTTTGGTGGAATGATGAGCGCCAAAGCCCGGCTGAAGTGCGTTTAGAAGAAGAGGATGGGGAAGGCGGCAGGTCTGGGCACGTAATGGAAAACCAGAGGGTCGCGGTGCAGACTGGGCAGTGCTACGCAAGAAGCACTATGTTTGGCTAATGGAAGAAAAATCACTTTTACTACCTCGAGCAGAAACCTGTTTCTCTGGTCGCTAATGAATTCATGGATATTCCTTTTTGTGTCTGCACCTTTAAAGCAAATTGAAATTGACTTAGGTTTAGTTCATTATCCCTCCAAGATGCATAAAATAAAAGCTATGTAATTACATGATTGCATTCAGTATGTACCTGGACTTGAAAACTAGTCCAGTCAATTTAACTAGAGTTACTACTATTTATCTGTGTCCCTAATATTCCAGGAATTTTATTAGACACTTTAAAACACCATTTTATTTAATCCTAATGGTAACCCCAAGGAGGTACTTGTTACTATTCCCGTCCTGTGTGTGAGGTCTTGAGGCTCAGAGATGTCAAGATGTTTGTCCAGGATTGCAGAGCTAATAGGTAGGAGGGGCATGGGACCCTGAAGACTGTCCTAAATATGACTCAGCTGTTTTAAATCTTAACCTTTTGGCCATTCTGGACATAAAAGTGGAGTGATTGGGTAAAGTGTGTTTGGTGATTACAAACCACTTTAAAGCAGGAAAGAAGATGACAACCAGCTTACCGCTCAGCAACAGAAAATACCAAAGTTTCCTGGCAAGGTTTCTTTGTTCTGGAAAAATTACACAATACGTAGGCTATGTTTCAATAATGTTTGCCTCGTGAACAACCAGCAGAATGTGTGATATTAAGTAAAATCTTTTACTAAAAATGTGCTTAGAATTAGAGAGAACATAGTGTTTCCCAAACAACCGGTGAGCCTGGGCTGCGGAGGAAGCCCGCCGTCTCCCCGGGATTGTGATCCGCCTCCACCTCTTACTCTCTGTGGGATGGTGAGTCAACGACTCTCCCTCTTCAAGCCTCAGCAGAATAGGATGCTAATTGTGATATCATGGCTCAAAAGTATTTGCTGCCCCTCTCTGTGCGATGGTCTCCATCACCCCACCCTGCCCCTACTCCATGGATGCCTGGCTTGCCCGTTAGCTTGACGTGGCCCATGGGCTGGGAGTGCACGTGACCCGTGTCGCTCCGAAGAAGACGTGTCTCCCTCTTGCCCTAACTACAGCCACATCCAGGCAGGGGCTGCTTCTTCAGTACAGGCCTCAGTGAAAAGCACCGAAGTTGAAGAGTGAGTGAGAAATAAAGCCCTGTTGTAAGCTGCCGGGATTTGCAACTGGTTTATTGCCACTGCACAATTTGTCGAGTGGATATGCTATCGTTACTGTCTACCTTATAGTGGTTGTGCGGAAATGAAGTGAGGCAACGTATTACAGAAACACGTAGTAATTCCTTAGTGATAGTTAGCTGTTGCTATTTCAAAAATGCAATTGGAATAATCACTTAATTTTTCAATAATAGTGATTATCATAATCATTGATGGATGGTTCCAAGGGTGGGTGACAAACAGGTGACCTGGGGGTCACATGGGCACTGGTTTACATTCTTCATCCACTGACGACTTTGGGTAAGACACTCAACTTTACTGAGCCATTTCCCTCAGATAAAGAGAGGAGGAGGCAAAATCAACTGACAGCATTTTGTGGAGGATTAAATAAAATAACATACATGGAAGTAACAAACACCGAGTTAGCACAGTTTCTTTTTAAACACTTTAAAAAGACTTTTTGTCATAAAAGTCATCAACACTAGTAAAAGCAGTCCTCCAATGAGCCACCACACAGGTAATCACCAACCTCCAAGTCATCAACATTTTACCAGTCTTGCTTCACCGGTTGCCAGCTTTCACTCTTCTCCGCATTGTAATATTTGAAAGCAAATCCAAGATATTATTTCATTCATAAATACTTCATTATGTAACTCTAACATGCAACAAAAAATATACATAACCATAGTACCACAATCATCCCAAACAAAATGAACAATTTCTTAGTATTGTATGCCAAGTCTGGGTTTAAATTTTCCCCGCTGTCTCAAAAAAAAAAAAGCTATTTAGAATTAAAAAACAATTAAATTTAAATAAAGATCACTTTGGCCGGTATGACTCCTGAAGTGTATTTTTTAAATCCACAAAAGCCACCCCTCTCTCTCCACACATTGCCCTTCCTTCCACGCCTTTTATTTGTTTGAGAAACCAGGTCAATGTTCCTGTGGAATTTCACACATGATAGATCTGGCAGATTGCATTCTCATGGGGTTGTTTTCCTAAATTTTTAGTTGACTTTAGAGAGAGGGGAAGGGAGGGAGAGAGAGGGAGAGAAACATCAACTAGAGCCCGTACCCTGTGCCTGGGCCCTCGCCATGGCTTTCATTTGGTCGATTATGATGGGTTAGATGTGTATTGAACATAAATCTCAATATATAAAAATAACCCTATTTTATGGGGTTATTTTTAAATATTATAGCTATGCTCACCATTCCAGGCTACTTTAACATGCTCCTGTCTGGCTGAATGGATGTGATTTTCCAGCTCTAAATAGACTGGCTACAGTGCGTGTCTAGCTCTCAATCAGCTCTGGCCGCTGCTTTGACCCAGAGACCATGTTTGACAAAGCCCCACACAAAGTACCCGTGTTCCTGGGCGCCCGAGACCCCACCACCCCCAGAGGTGTGACCCAGAGGTGTTGCCCTTTAAGTGAAGCTGCTGGTACAGGAAGGTGGAAGTGCACTTCTGTCACGTTCCCAAGGGATCCGTCTGTGGCAGTTGTCCCTGTAGTTTTTTGGAGGTGATGTAGTAGTTTGCCACTGATGCCTACATAGAAATAAAATAACCTAGGCTCCCAAAGTAGGGGTCGCTTGCTCATTGGACTATCACATAGGTTTGTCTGTCATCTGAATTCAGGCAGGAAGTACAAGGTCGGGGAATGAGGGTTTTGCCCAAATCAGTTCTCGGTTGGAAAGAGTCAGAGGGGGACTTTATTATTTTAAATGAAAATGTTCAAATATCTGTGTAATCAGCAGAAACTGATGACCTGATTGCCTTTGTGGACAGAGCCCAGGTTACCTTGGATAACACGACAATTTTACTGTTTCCTTTTCAAGAGTCTGCCCAACACCCTTTACCCGTCAACCATCAATGATGTGGAATAGGGTCAGCTGAGATGTGGTGCCTCCTCGCTATCTCAGAACTGCTGGAGTGGCAAGGATTGTAGAAGTTAGTCACTCTGTGCAGAACTCTTTGTGAAACATGCCATGTGTGATTCAAAATGCACTTGATGACTCAGGATTCACCGTGCGACAGACGTGAGCCTTCGACATGAGACATGAAACTGGACTATCAGTGGTCCAGTCTCTGACATCACTGTGCTGTCTATCACCTGCCGCTTTCTCCTACAAGAGTGTAGGCAATGCACTGCCCAGACCTAAATGAGTTGACAAGGCTTCCTTTTTCTATAGTCATTACCGAATCCCAAGTTCCTTCCTAGGTGGTTTTCTAAATCAGATAGGAAGCAGTTTGAAGCTAGCAGGGTTAAAGTGATTAATACCAGGATGATGGACTGATTAAGTCATTCTCCAAAATGAGTCTTATTCAAAAAATTTTTTAAATATTTATTTATTTATTTATCTTTAGAGGGGAAGGAGAGAGGGAGAGAAACATCAATGTATGGTTGCCTCTAGTGCGTCCCCTGCTGGGAACTGGCCTGCAGGGAACTGGCTTGCAACCCAGGCATGTGCCCTGACTGGGAATTGAGCTGTGATCCTCTGGTTCACAGACCTGTGCTCAATCCACTGAGCTACACCAGCCAGGGCAAATTTTTATATTAAAAATTAAAATAGAAGAAAGGGAGGGAGGGAGGGAGGGAGGGAGGGAGGGAGGGAGGAAGGAAGGAAGGAAGACTGAGTGTCTAGAATTTGCTGTGGTGCCTTAAAAACATTTCTCTGGCTCCGGAAGTCCAGACGCTTTCTCAAATATTGAAAACATTTTTTTCTTTGTAGGCATTTCTTGATCTGATAAGTAGGAAATGGCCATCCTTGATGTTTTTACTCCCAGGGCGCCCTCTTTCACAGAGCAGTAATTAATAGTTTGTCGTATTTTAGAATGTTGCCTCCCTAGGTTGCTAAAACAGATTATGTTTTTGCAACCGCAGGCAAGCTGTTTAATTTTATTAGCTTCCTGATTCTCGGTATATGAGTTGTATGGCCCAGACAAGCAAGACTTCTCTTTAGAAAGACTTCTTTTAAATTCAGTTCTAGATTCGGTTCTAGATGAAGAACTGAATTTAAACGGCCAGAGCCATTAACTTCGATGCTGTGGCATTTAGGCAGGGACGGCCTTCCTCAACGCCACAAAAATGAGGAACTCTCTGTTTCTTGGTAAAGTACGTTTTCTTATTTAAAATAGATTTTCTCCCGACTCTCAACCCCCATTTACAAAGACCGCCCCCAACCATATTATGAGACAGCACACTTTGTGTTTCTCATCTCCAGAAGAGCCACCAATATCAACAGTAAGTATTCAGACAATGTTTTTACACAAACAGCCATTTGGACTCACCATCCTGTAATCTGAGAATAAGAGCCGGGTCCAGCATGAACTTCTCAAACGAGCCAGCCCCCGTGTCAGTGCGGAACGCTATCTGGCTCAGGTGTGAACGGCTCTTCATTCGTGATGAAAACGTAGACTTTTGGTGGATTTTCTTGCTGTGGTTCAAGAATTTTTCCTGCCCAAGTGAGAAAGTTTAAAAGAATTTCTAATATACCAAAAAGAACATTATCATAAAACAAGATGTCATGTAATGTAAGATGTACTAATATTTTATGCATTTCCAGTTGTGCGTTCCACCCCATCTCTATGGCTGGATCTCAATTTCAGGAGTGAGGAAATGTGAAAAGACGTGGCTATTAAAATCAATGAAGTAAGGTTGTATGTGTACTTGTCATAGTGGATTGTAGTGTGTCTGTCTTCCTCCAGTAGGGGGTGATCATTAGGTCCCTACCACGGGCTGAGTACTGTTCTGGTGTGTGTGTGTGTGTGTGTGTGTGTGTGTGTGTACATACCACACCCCGGCACAGTGTGTAGCACATACATCGACATCTGACTTCATGTCTTACCCCAGCAAATTTTGTAAAAGTGACTGAGAAGAGGATATGTTTCTAACATTGATTGGGATTGGGATTGGGATTTGAATAAAACCGTACCTTTTTCCTTTCTGCCATTTCATTTTCTTTGAAAAGAAAGAGATCTTTGAAAAAGATCTTATATGGCCCTTGTTTTTTGGTGGACTCATTCTTTAGTTTTTCTGTTAAGAAAAAGAAAAAGAAAACTTCTGTCAACCCCTCTTTACTGACCAGATGGCGAGGCTCCCACCAGCCAGGGGACAGTGAGGGGGGTCAGTGGGTCTCTGAAGAGGAGGGTGCAGGGAGCCTTGCCCCCCCAGCAGGATGCGGGGCCCGCATTCAGGGGCAGGGGCCACAGCTAACCGGTCTGTTTCCCATGGCGCTGAGCACAGTGCTGGGTGACTCACAGGGAATGAGTCTGTATTTTTCGTGTGTGTGAGTATTTAGATAAAGGGGCTTATTACAGGTTAGTGGGATCATATTTTGAGATATTAACATGTTGATTCTTCCCACGCCTACAAATATACCCACCATTACCCTTACATCGACATTTCTGCCACAGTAGACCCATACAACACCCTCACAGAGATCCTCGGTCTAGAGAATCTTAAAAGAAGTTAAAGATAATAACAAGTAAGGGTGAGGAGGTGGAGGAACTGGACCCTCATACACTGCTGGTGGGAATGCAAAATCATGCAGCCACTTTGGAAAACAGTCTGGAGGTTCCTCCAAAAGTTGAACGTGAGCTGCTGTGCGATCTAGCCATTCCACACGTGGGTGTGTATCCAAGAGATACAAAAACATTTGTCCACATAAAACTTGTACATGAATGTTTACCACACCAACCTTAGATTTCTCACAGGTTTTGACAAAGACACCTAAATCCTTTAATAAAGTAGATTGTTCAATGCACACTGTTTTACTGTTCTGAATCTTGCTTTTGTTTAGTTAGTAATATATTTTGGAGTTCTTTTTACATCAGCATTTGCATATTTATTTCATAAAAAAAGAACAGCTATCAAGCGGCCCATTCCTTGGATGTATCATACTTTATATAACCAATCTCACACCAAAGGACATTATGGTTGAACCCAGTCTTCTGCTATTTTAAACAAGGCTGGATTGACTATTCTTATACACCTCTTTAACCCCGGTGCACACCTATCTGCAGAATAAATTGTCAGCATGGTCTTTTGTTAGGCAAAATGGGTTCTGGTGCTTGCCGTGACCAAGGCCATCTTAAGAAGCAAGTTGCTAAGTTGCTCTGAGCGATCAACAGTTTGCCCATGTCCCCTGAAAGGAATGTTCTCATACAGGGAAGTAGGCCCACTAAGTTGCTTAATGCTTTGGAATGCACAGCTCTTAACGAGCACACATCACTTGGCTACAAACCACCTGTGTGCCTGGAGACTGCCTGTATCAAGGCCTCAGCCCCTTTTGGGTGTGGAAATCTACTTCTTGTTGATGCCCAAGACTTTCTTCTGTCCATAAGTTCCCTTAATAAACTTTGATTCCAGAGTTGTTCGCCTCTTTTTTATCTCTTGGCCTGTTCTCCTTAGGAGATCAATTTCAATATACCGGTACTTCGGGAAATTTTCTCAACACCCTATTTAAATGCTTTTCAGATAATTCGGTGGTTCCTCAGTACCTGTTTTCCCTTCTTCTGTAGCAACAATTTTCAACCGGTATGCCACAAGAATTTTTAAAGCATGCAATACCTGACTTCTTTCCCTGTAGATTGTTAAATAAAAAATGACAACAGCCAATACAACAATAGCCATCTGGTGTCAATGAACCAAAATTATACTTTTTTTGTTAGATCAGCAAAAAGTGTTTTTAATGTGCCACAAAACTTTAGAAATTAGTTTATGCAAGCCATGATGTAAAAAGTTGACTAGCTGTTCTATAAGAACAGGGCCCTTAATTCTAGCTTGGCACATACCCAAAGTAAAGACTATATTTTACGACCTCCCTTGGAGCTGGATACAGCCATGTGACTGAATCCTGGGGCAAGGGGGTGTCAGGAGAAGTGGTGAGTGCAACTTTTACAAAATGTCCTACAAGGAAGGGGTGTGCTCCTCCCCTCGCCTTTTCTCCCTCTTGGTGGCAGGAATATGGATGGGTGTGATCGCTGGTACAGAGGCGGTCACCTAGGACTAAGAATATAGGCCAGCAAAAGTGAGAAGCCTCCCAGGCCCCTGATATGAGTGAGCCTCCATATGGAGGGACCCTGGAGTGCTTATGTGCAGACTTTGTTATCTAGGAGAAAAATAAACTTCTATCACGTTTAATCCCCTATTATTTATGTTCTGGCAGTTGCAGACAAATGTTTTAATTCTAAATACAGAGAGGACAATTTTTCTTTCAAAGAGAATTCCTATACGGTGCCTATTACCCAAAACACATTCTTGGTGTCCTCCAATTTTTAAATCTTTATCAAATTTCTGTTTTAAAAAGTTATTACTACATACTGATCAATACTAATTCCTTGAAAACTTGTAAAGAAGTGGGAGGATAAAAAGAGAGAGGGTGGTAAAGGAAAGGAGAGGACAGATTTTCATAAAATGTAGTTATTCATGTCATTTATTATAACAAATAATTGAGTTAATCATTTTACGTCATGAAAGACTGGTAAGTAATCTCACTAAATACAACAGTATTTAAAGCTTTTTGTTTTGACAATTAAGAACTAGAAAAGAACTGTCTGACAAAGTAGCTTATAAGTTCTTGACGTAGAGAGGCCATGTCTGGTGTTCTGTGCAGCGCTCTGCCCTTCTTACTCGCCCAACCCACTTTGGGGACTAACTGTGCGAGGCACAGGGCAGGAACTCAGGGACCGGTTTCTCCCTTACCTCCAGAAGCCAGTGGTTTTGACAAAAAACGTGATGACATTTTGTCTCCCGGTCCTGACCAAAGAAAATAAAACACATTTTAAAAATTCTATCAACCTGGCATAAAGTCACTAAATTCAACTACCAGTAACTCCCAAATAGGCTTTATTGCTTTTAAAAGTAGTGCAGGGACTTCCGGTCAAGATGGCAGCATAGGTAAGCATGGCTTTCCTCCTCACACAACTACATAAAATTACAACTAAACTACGCAATGACCATCATTCAGAACTGTCAGAAATAGAGCTGAGTGGAAGTCCTACAACTACAGAATTAGAGAAGAAATCATGTCGAGACTGGTAGGAAAGGCAATGGTGTACACATAAAATGGATTGCCGTGTGGCCCCTTTAAACTATTCCATGGCACTATTTACTCTATAATTATATATCTATGTGTGTATATAAATGTGTGTGTATATATATAGCAAAAGGACAGGAATACTGTGGATAAAAACACATGACAAGTAAGGGAGGTGTTTGAAATGTTCACCGCACATTAATAGTGGGCATCTCTGAATTGGAACAATCTCTCCTTTCAATTTTATCAGGTTTGGGATGTAGGTTAGTTGACTGAGGCACTCACCTTAGCTGAAAATTTAAGAAAATGCCCCCTGAAACTCAGTTACTGACACAAATAACATGCTAATGCAAGGCTTAAAAAATCAAAATTAATGCAGGAAATAACTAAAGACAAAATATTGCCTTTACATTTACATGTGGATGGGATCTGACCACACGTAGGTGACTCTGAGAATGAGTGTCCTGCTTGCCACACCCTGCCCCAGCCCACAGATCTCGTCTCAACATTTGGATATTTTGTTCATTATGGATTTTTGTACTAAACCTTATTTTTAATAGTAAATTAAAATGTTCAATTACAGAGTTTTTGCCTCTCCCTTAAATGTTGCACGGAAGGCAAGTGCCTCATTTGCCTCACCCTAATCCTTGTCTAGAATGTGTGTGCTTTTTCCTGTCATTCCAATTTCTCAATGAGCTTGTGTAATTTTTACCATGAATAATAATAAGAATGGTATTTTAATTTGGGGGGGAAGAAAGGATATTCAGGACTTTATATAAAAAGGTGTGCCCACAATAGGAAAAGTGGGACAAAATACCCTATTTCGGGTTTCTCCTTTAATTTGTGCCTCAGCACTCTCAAAGAGCCACACTTAAGAGCCAAGTGTCCCAGAGGCACGGTGGCAGGTGATTAAGAACACAAACTGTGGACAAGCCTGTTGGTTTAGCATTTACAGATGTGTGAGCAAGTTCATTTAATATTTTAAAATATTTCTTGAGTACCTCCTATGTGCCAGGCACCATTCCAGGTGCCGGAGATGTGGCTCTTACAAAATAAGACGTGCACACAAAAAGGACAAAAAGGATTGTCTGCATGGAGCCTGCAGTCTAATTGCTTAGCATCTCTGAGCCTCAGATTCCTAGGGCATAAAATGGGAATAATAGTTCCACTTCTAAGGCTTCCATGAGGATTCAGTGAGACCAAACTGAACAAACAACAAGGCAAGGTGCCTAGATACAGACGGAACTCAGTAAGCAGGGGTTATTAAGTGTTAACATTTACTAATTAATATGTGATTTTACTTCTAGTAATTATAAAAACAAAGGTGAAAAAATTACATTGAAGCTTATGAAAGAGAAAAGTTAATAAAAATCTACAGCACTGATATTATACTTCTTTAGATTACTGAGGATTTTTTCATAGGTATTAGGTTTATTTTGATGGGTGGAAAAGAAAGATTGGTGAAAAACTGATGATAATCTGTGGGGCTGATAATATAAAAACGTGTAGATTTTCTTAAATTTCTGATTTGCACTTATCTTCACTCCTAAGGTTCTGCTCACCTCTTTCTTGTCATGCTTTGTGTTTCTTCACTGCTTCTCTCTGAATTTCCTCTCCTCTCCATCCCACTCTCATTCCATTCATCCTAAAAAGTCTGTCTTCAATAAACACCTTATTCGTGAGTGCTGGTACTTTTTTACTTACAGGAAAGTGGAAGTTCCCCTTTCTCCAAGCCAACTGTGAGTAGCAGATATCTGCTCTTATTCTGCCTCTCTCGTAACTCACAGAACATATAGAGAATGAATAGTCTCTAGAAGTTGTTATACTTCTGTACTTCCATATGCACTAACCCCCCACTGATGAGCGAACTGGTTGGTGAAGAACATGTGAGAGAGGAAGCACACCAGCTATGCCTAGGAGGGGACTATGAAGTTCTCTGAACTAAACCAATACGATGCACCAACCAGGAAGAAAAAGTCAAAGCTGGTGAATGTCTTTGCTGAGCGAAACAAAAATAGTATAATGACTAACCAATATCTCAGTACCAAAAAAGAGGGGAAATGTTGTTGAATTGCAGAGCAAATGCCTGCAAATTTACGTCTAACATACATGTTCAGATGCAACATTCTATAGTCAAAGAAGATAAAGAGCTCGGAAAGATCAGGGATTTGAAATGGTTACAGTGGTTGTAAGCCATTATTTTTCCTTGTGGCCTAGAGGCTAACGACTAAGAGCACAGACTCTCATTATGCTCCTTAACCCTCACACTTCAGTTCCTCATCTTTCAGAAGGGAGGATGAGAACGGCACCCACCTGCTGGGTCTGTTACGTGAGTTAACCTCGGTCCTGCCCTTTGGACAGCATCAGGTATATAGTAAGTGCCTTGTAAATACAACCCAAGGAGGAAGAATTCTAAGGAGGGCAGGGACCTGGTGTGTTTGAGAAACAGCAAGGACACTGGTACCCACAGGGGACAAAGGGAGTAATGGATGGGGTCAAAGGGATAATGAAGGCCTGGAGGATTATTTTCAGTGACATGAGAATCCTGAAATGAATCAGTGTGACAGCTGAGCAAGAAGAAACTGTAGAAGGAGATGAGGGTCCCACAGGGAGACCTGTTGGGAGGGAGGAGATAATGGAGTCTCAGGACAGTGGTGGAAATGGCGAGAGGTGGTCAGATTCTAGGTGAAGTTGGAAAACAGATCTGCAGAAGTGGCTGAGGATTTGGACGTGGGGCATGAGACAGACAGAGAGCCCAGTCAAGAAAGGATGGAGCTGCCATCGACAGAGACAGAGAAGGCTGTGGGACAGGGGCAGTCGGGGAGAGCAAAGCTTCAGTGTGGAATGTGCAGAATTTGACATACTTATGAGTCAACTAAGGGACGTGGATGTAAAACATGCTGTTCTTCCAAGTGAGCACCGTGCTGGTTGACTTGTTTAATGTTTGCCTTCCTCTAACACTATGCAATTATATGTGGTCACCGAGTCAGCTTCTTCTGTACGTTTCATAACAGGGGCCGCATGAAGGCACTGTGGAAAGACCCTGGCCTCTGGGGGCGAGCAGGTTTGAATCCTGCCTCCGATTCTTATCCATTCTGTTTCTTTTTGGTTTTTTGGGTTTTTTTGGTTTTTGGCCTATCCAATTGAACTAAGCGTACCTTAAGTTCCTCTATCAAGTATGGATACTAACACCTTCCGTACAGGCTTGTTGCTATTTTCAAACACAGATAACGTAAGCAAAGTGCTCATGGGCAGTGGGCTGACGGAAACAATTGCCTGTACCATCTTCAGAGTAGGTACCAGGTGTGTCCTTCTTCTGTTTCTGTGAATAACGACCAGCTTTTGAAAAGAACAGGAGGGATGACTGGTAACTAGCTTTCATGAGAAATCCGGAATTAAAGTTAAAGTTTTTGAAACTGGGTCATTTGAGAGGAATCGACCAGCAATGTCAGCGCAAATTGGGGGACTCTGACCCTCCCCCCGTTAGTGCAGAGTCTTATCAGATTCTCCAGATTCTTAGTGCAGAAGCTTCGTGCAAATGGAGGTAGAGGAGTGGGTTTTCCACTGTCCAAACCTAAGCCCTACACCAACTCGAAATAAATGAACAATAACAATATCTACCAGATACCATCCAAGGAAGTTTCTGTTTAAGTTGTCCCACAACTCTACAAACGCCATGAAAGCGGATATCCAGATTCTCTCAATACCAGAAGAAGACCTTGATCTCCCAGGAGCAAATGAAGACGTAGACAGATTCTCTCAGACCCAACGACTCTCAGTGTTTTCCCACCTCCTTCCCACCCACTTGGACAAATAACGAGAGAAAGGGCTGTGAACTGTGTCCTCTCTCCAGACCAGAGCTAGCAGGTTTTTGTTTGCCCGAGAGCCAGCAGCCACGAGGTCCTTGGCCTGACCGAGCACTGCCTTTTTCGATGAGGTCAGAGGGAGAGCGCGATGATGAGAAATTGCCTTCAGCTTGACCTTTAAGGCCCCGCTGACGTCAGACTAGCTATTTGCTGTGGACTTTCCTGTTGACGTTTCTGACTGCCCCCTTTGCAAACTGAAAAAAATAACTGAAGGTCAAGTGGAAGGGATACTGAGGAAAAGAAATCAGCCAGTGTGGGTCAGATGACGTGACCCAACCCTGGACACTAAGAACTGCCACCACGGGGACATGGGTGGCCACAGAGGAGAAACATGATCATTCCTCTCTGTAATCACCCAGCGGCGACCAGGGAGGAGGCGAGCCCACTCTCGTCCTTCTTGTTTCTGCTGACCTCTCGTTCTCAGGGGCTTTTCAGGCAACGTTGTTTTTCTGGACTGTAATCAAGGGCACTCACTGAACCCACAGACATAAATTTCCATTTTAAAAAGTACAATTTCTTTTAAACTTGTCCAGAACTTGTAAATTTCAAGCACACAGTACATTCTGTGAAGTCAGGAGGGGAATTAGTACTGCTGAAATCTAATCTTTAACTTAATTGACCAGCAAGAGAAAGAGCAGGATTGAAATAAACTACTAGTAATAATAATAGCTGTTACTTATTTAGAGATGGGCAGTGGGCTAAGTGTTTCACACTTCATCACAGTTAAAGCTCAGATAAGTCCATAAAGTAGAAACAATCATCCTTACTATATGGACGAAAAAAAACTGAGGCTCAGGGAAGTTAATTTCCAAAAGCCAAACAGCTCCTAAGTCACTGTTTATGAGCCAAAATCCCACTTGGGATTAAGACAAGTTTACTGAATCCCAAAGCCGTCCTATAATTTCACTTTACCATCTATAATTGCATAAATCTGTGAATATAAATGCAAAGTGTGACATTCAAGTCTTTAGCATAAATTTTATATCATAAAATTTTAATATTTTCTATGAATTAGTGATTCTATGTTTCTATTTTCCACTATTTCTACTTTTTTCTCTATATATTATGCCTTTCTTTTAAAATCTCTGTACAGACACACACATCTGTTCAGGATTATATGTCTGTGCTGTGATGAATAATCTATGGATTTTCTTTCTCCCTTTTCGGTCTCTTTTACATACATTGTCGACTGAATTCTTTTCCAGTTTTTATTTTGTCTGGGCTCTTTCTTTTCTCCCTGACTGGGTTGTCTCTTTTACGGACACAATATGTAGCCAAAGCATATTCTCATTTACTGTGTCATCTAAAGGAGTCTTCGCTTTTCTGTTCTTTGTTTTGAGATGGCTTTAAAATGACACCAAATGGACCTACTGTTCTATTTTATGGGTCTACAGGCCTTGCACCTGCTTTAAGGGTGTGTTATTGTATCCATGAGTGTCTTCCTTCCGACTGCGGCCTGTGCTGGGCAGGGAAGGTGCCCTGCGTGTCTGTATTGTTCCACCGGCCTAACTACACAAAGCGCCTACTAAAAGAATACAAAACTGAATGAAGCAATCAAGAAATTCCTAATCAAACCCAGGCCCTGACGGTGTTTTCACAGCAACTGAGAGGCAGAGGAGCTGTAGGTGAGAATTACAGACTACCTTCCTTAAACAAACTTGATTCGGTCTCCAGCCTTCGGTGCAAATGGAGGGCAGGCCCGACCAGGTACAATTGGGGGCGTGGGGCACACGGAGCTGAACCCACCTTTACCTCAACGAGTTTGAACGCGGGAGCCTTCTCAACCAATCCCTCGGGGAAGGAGACAGGGGGGGATGGGCGGAGGCACCAATCGATTCTCCAGTCTCGGCTCTAGCCTCCCCCACCCCGGGTCCCCGTCATCTCGGAGGCCGCATGGTACAGCATCCCGGTGCGGAGCCGGCCAACCGAAGAACGCGCGGCACCCGCCACCCTGCTCCGCGGCCGCGCGGACGCAGGAGCAGCGCCCCCACCGCACCCGCCTCCTCTCTACCTGCTGGTTCTGCCGCAGGCGGCCCTCCCAGCCCCCTGGGCACAGGCTTCCAGCCTTCTGTCCCTTCCCGGGGCCCGGTCCCAGGTTCCCCCACCTGCTTCAATCTGGTTTCTCCCCACTTTACCGGCTCGGAAAGGCCTCGCCTACAGCGACCCCCTTCCACCTGGCCACGTGATCGTCGCAGCCCACCTTTATCTCTCCTGGTGACAGCACTTCAGTTTCTAATCTCTACCACATTCACCCAAGAACCTGACCAGACGAGCAAAACAGCGGAGACTCGTTATATAACACTGATTATCAGTCAGCGTTCTGGGATTGTCATTGCCAAGGTTGGAGGGGAGGCGCGCTTTCCTCGCGGCTTTGGAGAGTCCGCGGCTCCGAGCTCCCGCCCCTGCTCCACCCTCCCGGCCCCGGGCTGCACCGCCCGCGGACCAGCACTCCCAGCGGTCTCACCCGTGGCCCCAGGCCCGCGACTGCCCGGAGACCCGCGGCGCGCGGCGGCATGGCGGGCGACCACCGCCTCCTGCTGGAGAACGCGCGGCAGGTGGTGCTGGTGTGCGCCCGCGGGGAGCGCTTCCTGGCGCGGGACGCGCTGCGCAGCCTGGCGGTGCTGGAGGACGCCAGCCTGGTGGTGGGCACGTAAGTGGCGGCGGGTTGGAGGGACCCGTCGGACAAGTCCCTGCTTGGCGCTTTTTCTCTAACTTGTGTGCTCTGGCGGGAAACGGGATGAAAGCTCCCCCGAACCCAGGGAGACGTTGGCGGGGCAGCCTTTAGGAACCTGTTGCTGACGGGTTTGACTGCTTCAGGTTGTCCTTCCGTGGAAAAACGCACCGAAGCCGCACAGGGCACCGGGACGCATCAGGATCCCGCCTCTGCCGACAAAATTTCATTGTCCGACAAGCGGAAGGTGTCGGGGTTCGTGCAGTGCTTCCTGAAGTGTGGCCAAGAGACCACCTGCGTCCGATGGCCTGAGATTTTTTTTTACAGCAGATTTCAGACCACCGGCCCGCCCAGTCCCTCCCCCACCCTCCATCCCCAAATGTTTTGAAACAGCATCTCCGTGGGGGAAGTTCTGAGACCCGAATTTTACAAATACCTCTCCCACCCCCTTCTCCACTAAAGCTTGAGAACCATGGCAATCGGGGGTGTCCAACCTGCGGCCCGGGATGGCTACGAATGCGGCCCTACACAAAATCATAAATTTACTTAAAAACTTTTTTTTTTTGCTTATCAGTTTTCATTAGTGTTTGTGTATTTAATGTGTGGCCCAAGACTCTTCCAGTGTGGCCCAGAGATGCCAAAAGGTTGGACACCCTGGATGGTGATGGTTTGCAGATATAAGATATTAAGGTTCAGCCACCAGAGAACGAGGGCGTGTTCAATTGTTTTTATTAAACCTTCTGGGCTTCCTGGCAGAGCACAGAAAAGAACAGCCAGCTTGGGAGGGCGCCTGGGGCGCGGGTGGGGTCAGATGCCATGTGGAGAGCGACGTGGCAGGGCGGTTGTGCAAGAGCGGTCATTCTCACCCAAAGCCGAGGCTGCTTAGCGTTGGGCTCGAGTCCAGCTTTTAAGGACTGTGTGTGTTTTTAATGAACAAAAGGATAGAAACATTTCCAGTGTTACTGTCAAAAAGCTGTGAAAGTCAGTTAACAGAATTGCACAAAAATAAGACTTCTCGAGGATTCAGGTCCCCCACGGCCCTGCTCTGTCGGGCACACCCCTTCTTCTCCAGTCACTCCGTCACCCCACATGGCTGCTCCCTCTCTCCCGGGTCTGTGTTCCAGCCAGTAGGAAAGTGGAAAACAGTCCCACTGGCTTCAACTTAGCCGCATGGCCGCAGCAGGCCGATGGGAGACTGGGAAATGTATCTTTACTCCGGGCGGCCATGTATGTGTCCTGGCCAAGTTCAGGAATCCAGCGGTGTGGGGAAAGGAAACATCAGCACAGGAGAACAGTTAGCAGTCTCCTTAGACACGACGGGACTTTTTGCCTGACCTGTGGCTGGAGTCGCTTTTCCAAGACACAACTCCAAACAGGAAATGAAAGAAATGCTGAGGCATTGATAACGTATTTGAAATCATTGGTCAGATTTCTCACAATATTTCCCAAACTTCACTAATTACTTGTTGATTTTTCTTCAGGGATGGGTTTATAAAAGCCATCGGTCCTGCTGATGTTATCCAAAACCAGTTTTCTGAAGAAACATTTGAAGAAAGAATTGACTGTTCTGGGAAATGCATCTTGCCGGGTATTAACTTCTTTTCAGTCAAACCCTGAATGCAGTTTGAAGAAAGTAAAGAGGAAGAATAGTAGCTTGTGTAGATTAGAGCACTGCAGTTCAGGGGTGAAACATCTCACCCGAGACTGCTGACCAGGTGAACAGCAAGCTGAGACTCAAACCCACCCATCAATTCTAGTTCTTCCCACTCACACAGTGAAGACAGACCAGCTGTGTTGTATATCGGTTCAAAACTGTTGGAAGAATTTTATTAATGCATTGTGGCACGGGACAGCAGGACAGGGAAGCAAATAGGGAAAACTGCTCTCTTTACCAGAATATACTTTAAATTAGTAGAGAGTGTGAAACCAAGGACCCATCTCTAGATGGGAAAAAAAAAATCCTTAGATTTCACTGAAGTCCATTTGTATCTTTAGTGATTGACAACAGAATCAGTTCGTTGGCCACCATCTCCTACACAATTCATGTTTTATGGCTTCATGTAATGATCCGAAACAGGTTTCATAAATTTTGAGATCTATGCAAACCCAGAGGCTAAGATTTGTACCTTCAAAGCGTGTATTGGGTATATCTGACTCTTGGGAGTTAGAAGACAAAGTCAGGGTGAAACCTTGTGAAAAACCAGAATACACTGGAAAGCAATTCGAACAGGGACTTTGGATTTTACTCCACATCGGAACCCACTAATCAGCCATTTCATCTCTGAGGTATTTTGAATGTCTTGGAAAGACACACTTTTCTAGACTGTACCAGGGTAAACAAAAGTTCCAAGTGATTGCTAAAGTTTCTCTTTCTATATAAATATATAAAATATATTTTTTTCTTGAAGAAAGATTCATCTTCCTGATTTCATATTTTTCCAAGGTTGAGGGTCCCTTAGATTGAATAAATCTGTTTTCACACCCAAATTATTCCTTGGTGACATAGTCCTTGGTTTTGCTCCATTAGTAGATTTGACATCACCAGTTTTTGGTGAGCATGGGTTTAAGGGGGCAAAAAGAGCCACATTGTTTGAGGAATATTTTCATAATTTTGAGCCCCCCTCCTCTATTAGAGCTTTCTAGAACAACTATGCAGAGAGACCCCTTGTTTCCTCTATGGGGAAGGAAACAGAGACAAATTCTTCCTTCTCTGCCAATACCCCCCCCCCCACGATGGCTGGCCCCCATCGTGCTTGCCAAAGAGCAGGACAGTACAGTCACCTGCCACCTAGGGCTTTTTATTTCTTAACTTTAAAAATGATTTGATTTATTGATTACAGGTTTGGTGGATGCACACACACATCCAGTATGGGCTGGCGAAAGGGTTCACGAGTTCGCAATGAAGGTAACTGCAATGAATGATGGCAAATCTTTTTCTAGAGTCTGTGGGCTGTCAGGCTTTGCCCCCTACGCCTACATGTCTTCCTAATGAATATTTTTACCAGCCTGGACTATGGCAGATAAATCACAATAAAATTTAGCTAGTTTATAGATGCCTCAAATCTTTATACCATGCACAGGGCTAGCAATCACTTTAAATATAAAAGTTTTCAAAAATTGTAGCTGTAGAATCTTCATTTTAACAGAGCTCAGTTGCCTTGCTAACTAATTTCTCCTCTCTTTTCCTTCCTCCCATTCCATCCCATCAGTCCTAGTGGTCTCTGAAAAGACTCCAGGAAGCAGCTTGAAAATCATATCCCATGAAGGTCAAACTAGGAAAAATGTATTAATAATAACAAAAATAAAATGTCTTATATTGCTCTCACTTTTATCCAGAAAAAAAATGAGATTTGTTAAGAAATATGAAAAGAAGTCTATTGGTAATGAATTAGCTGTAGTCAATCCTCAAATCCTTGGTTGGAGCCATTTTACATTGTTTGTTTTTAGTAGATTTTATTTTTTTAGAGAATTTCTAGGTTCACAGCAAAACTGAGCTGAAGCTGCAAGGATTTCCCACACAGCATCCTCCGCCCCAGCCTCCCGCATTTTCAGCGCCCTCCAGCAGACTGGTGCATTTCTTACACTGGATGAACCTACACTGATGCACATTTACAAATGTATAGTGACATGAACCCACCCTTGTAAGATCATACAGAGTATTTCACTGCCCTAAAAATCCTCTGTGCTCTGCCTGTTCATCCCTCTCTTCCCCCAACCCCTAGCAACCACTGATCTTTTTACTGTCTTCACAGTTTTGCTTTTTCCAGGCCGCCCTAGAGTTGGAATCATCTGGTGTGTACCCCTTCCAGACCGGCTCCTTTCATTTAGTTATACGCACCGAGTTTTCTCCACACCTTTTCTTCACATTGTTCCTAAAAATACACCCATCTTAACAGCTAAATTGCATTATTTCAGAAAAAGGAAAAATTTCTTTAGATATTGTGTACTTTCCTCAGCAAACTAGAGCTGCTTGTAAGACTTCTTCATTAAATCACGGAATTTCGGAGTGAGGAGGCAACCTTACAGATCTGTAGTCCGGTTCCCTCACTGCGCAGAAGCGGAAAGGGAGGTCCATAGAGGGAGGGGTGTACACAGAGTTCACCAGCTCCCCATGGCAGAGCCCCGATAAAAACTCCTGGGGGGGAGACCACCCCACCCCCACAGGCATATTGTGTTTGCACCGCACTCCTTGCTGCCCAGTAACAGAACCCACTGGATTCCCACAAAGGGCCCCTTCATTTACTTGAGCCAGATGCCAGGTCCCAAACTCTTGTGGCCTAATACCAAGGAGAGGGGACACCGCTGGGTGGTGTCGGTGGCGATTTGAATGACTGCAGCGGGTTCTCTGGAAGTGCCTAAGTTTTGGGTTTTGTTTGTTTTTGTTTTGTAATAGGTGGAGACTTAACTGGTACACACTGGGGTGGACTGGGTTGTTGAAATACTGAACTCCTTCGGTAATGGGTGGTAAACGGCTGCTTCTGGAGACCAGAAGTCCCCACCACATCTCCCATCTCTGCCACCCCAGCACTTTCCTGAGACAACACAGTTAACCTCCCCCGCCCCTTTCTGATTGGCTGGTGCCAGGGCATATTGATTGTGATTCGTGTTGAATATCACCCCTGCAGGTAGGTTCTGTAGACCTGCCTGCAACTTCCCTGCATTTGTTTGGCCTAATGATGAGCTGTGTGTTCAGTTGGCAGGAGCCACATACATGGACATCCACCAAGCAGGAGGAGGGATCAACTTCACCGTGGAGCGCACGCGCCAAGCCTCGGAGGAGGAGCTGTTCAGCTCCTTCCAGCAGCGGCTGCACTGCATGATGCGGGCGGGGACCACGTTGGTGGAGTGCAAGAGCGGATACGGCCTCAACCTGGAGACCGAGCTCAAGATGCTCCGAGTGATTGAGCGCGCCCGGCAGCAGATGGACCTCGGCATCTCGGCCACTTACTGCGGGGCTCACTCAGTGCCAAAGTAACCTCAGCCGACGGGCACCGGGTTTAACTACGGCATGGAGGGGGCCGCTCTCTCTGCCCCGCACCCCACGCTGTGGTTCAGCACTTTAGCTCTTGCAGAGACACCAGTAGAAGCCTTTGGAAAGGTGTTCGGATTCTAACGGGCAGTCATCTCATAAGTGGCTTTGGGAAGGTGATCTCCACTGGGCCTGTCACTTTGCTAGTCCCTTCCTGCTGAAGGAAGAGAAGATGCTCAAAACTCTTTTGGTTAACAAAGAGAAACGTCCCTTGTAGATCCTTCAAAATGACAGCTGTCAATCTAAATAGCTTCCCATGACAGCACAAAAGCACTTCAGAGATTAAGAGTAACACCCTGTAGGAGGCACGTGCAATCTTGAAGTGACTCAGAACAGTTTTATTTTTGCTCACGTTTGCTTGTTTATCAGCAAACATTTTTATGTTATTGTCGTTGATAGTTTTACGCTCTCCCCTTTATCTATGCGGCTTTACTGCGGAGAATGGCTGCCTCTTTCTGCACCTGCCTCTCACCTGCCTACAAATTTCTAGACCTGAAGGCCCGGAGTTCCGGAACTAAGAGATCCGAAAGAAAACCAGGACTTCATAGTTCATAGGGACTCCCCACAGTCTTCGTGCAGTTTTAAGTTTTCACAGCTTAGACATAGAAATTTTATAGCCGTACACAAATTATTTTAAAAAGGATTTCTATATTTTACAAGTGTATTTCATTTTGTGAACTTTCAAAAGAAAATTTTAATGGCAATTTTGTGTTTACCATCCTCCGAGGAACCAAAAATTTAACATTAACTTTTATTATTAAAAATTCACAAAGTGAATTAAGTAGAAAAAAAACCAAACGCTTAATATTTCCAGTGGTGTTTGTTGTATTTTTTTTAGCATTTATACTTCTGAAATTATTAAAGTTTGAAACTGCCCTCAGATGTTCAGGAGACCTGGTCTATAGAAAACAGATTTTTTTCCCAAATGACATATAAGGGGTGTGGCCACCTGGTTTCTTCAGTAGGAAGGACAGTGTGACATGGTGGAAAAGTCTCAGGCTTTGGGGTGGTGGCAGACCAGGGTCTGACCCCAACTTAGCTACTTCCAGCTGGGTGATTTTGAGGACCTCTCAACTTTTCCGAACATAAATTATTAGTCTGTAAAAGAGCTACCTAACATCCTATTCTATACAGTTGTCTGAAGAATTACATGCAAATGCCTGTCTCCTGATGGTCCACGTCTGTCTACCCACCCAAATGGCTTTCACTGAATGAGAGTCTTCTGTGTGCCAAACACAGGGCTGAAGTTCTACAGAAAATTGCTCCATCTGCCCATGAGGCTGAGTCCTGCGTCTTGATCCCCAGTGATAAGGCCTGAGGCTCCGAGCATGGCAAAAAACACCTAAATAACATGTCTGAAAGTTACATAGCCAGCGAGTGGTTGAGCTCTGTGTATATTTGACTTCAGAAGCCCAGCCCTTCCTAGTATATAACTACCCCAGGATCTCAGTGAGAATTTCGGGGCCAGCTGATAGCTCAAGGCCAGGGAAGAGGCCTGAAGTTGTTGGGTTGTCAGGGAAACATCCACAGTGCCCTCCAAGTGCCCTTGACAAGTGGATTCGATTTTTCTGCCAGGTGGCCCTTGCTGGAATTCCCAAAGGCAGCACTGGTGTACCCAAATGGATGAGGGTTTGAGCCTCTGTGTACAAGCTTGGTGCACACAGAAGTCTTATCAATACCTCTGCTATGTGGGCTGGTCACATTGTTGAGTCCTCTGTTGTAGCTTTGATTCTTTCTGATCCTATCTGAGGCTTGAGGTTATTTACCTACAGTCTCTCAGGCTCTCCAAGGACCAGAAAAACCTATCTGCATTTTTAAAAAATTTCCCTCATAGAAATCTTCTTTTCTTTCCTCAGAGGAAAAACTGCTACTGAAGCTGCTGATGACATCATCAACAACCACCTTCCGAAGCTGAAGGAACTTAGCGGAAGTGGGCAAATTCACGTTGACAATATAGATGTGTTCTGTGAGAAGGGTGTCTTTGACCTTGATTCTACCAGAAGGATTCTTCAAGGTGGCAAAGATATAGGGTTACAGATTAACTTCCATGGGGATGAACTCCACCCGATGAAGGCTGCGGAGGTAGAGTTGCCTTTCTGCTTCTTTGTCAATGACACCCGTGTCATGGAAAACTCACCTAGTTTGTGCAGAGACAGGAGTGGCCTTTTAAAAAGATGGAGTGGGGATGTTTGCTTGAACAGTGTGCAGAACGCACTGGTTGAGACTTGGAATCCCTGACTTCTGTTAGAAATTTACTTTTTTTTTTTGCTGGTCATTTACTCTTCTTAACACCTGATGGAGGTGTTAGTGGAAAAATGTACCTTCAGGTTCTCTTTTACTAAGTTCACAGCCTATTTTGGTTGGTTCAGAAAGTCATACCAGCAGAGTCTACTAATTTCACATGCAGCCCTTGGGGGCTTTCTGTGGCACCATCTAGATGAATTTTAGTGAAGCCCACCATTGATAGCCAGGACATGATTTTCCAATCTGCATGTCTTGCCCAGATTCATGTATTCATGTTGTCAGCAAATACTTGAGTGTGCAGTGTGTGGCGGGCAGGTACTGAGAATCCGTCAGTGAACAAAGACAGCTCTTGTGTGGGGCTGAGGAGCTAACTGAACAACTGCCCTCGGGGCATTAATACAGATGTAGATACCCCACCTGTGCCTGACCCTCTACACAGCCCACTTGATCTCTTACTACCACTTCCCAATCATGCGCTGTGTTTCCTGCTCCAGTGAATGAAAATATTACCCATTGGTCTAAATCAGAACCCAGATGTCATTTGACTCCTCCCTCCCCTTCACCTAACCACATTTCAACCAACCAGCGAGTCCTGCCAGTTCCTCCTAAATATCTCTAGATTCCTCTCTCTTCAGCCCACTGCCTAGGTCCACCCACCATCAGCTCTCATGGGGATTCCTGTAACTGCTGCTCTTGCCTCCAGGCTTGCTTCCGATTTAATCTGTTTCTTTAATCCATCCCCTTAGTTCTTCTATCCCTCCTCTCCATTACTTAAAACCATCTAACCGCTTACCATTGCTCACAGGGGAGTTCCAAACTCCCTACTTGCCAGGATCCAGCCCTTGTTTACCTCTCTATCTTCCTCTGTCTCTCCTCCCCCCCCCCCCCCCCCCGCTTTTTTTTTTTTTACCTCCTTCACCCTCTCTACCGTGAACCAGCCACAATAAACTATTTTCAGTGCACTGAATAGCCCATGCCTCTGCTGACGCGGACACCGGCTCACGGTGCCTGCGGGGTCATGGATGAGATGAGACAAATTCACACAGACTACTGAGTTCTGTGGAGGAAAAGGGGTGGCATGGCTACTCCCTCACTGGGGGAGTGCCTTGACCCTTGCCTAGACAGGCTTTTATTGGGTGTAATTTGCACAGAAATACAGGTACAGCTCATTAATCATTGTCAGGCAGTAAGGATCAAACAGTAGATAGCATACAAAGAACTATTAGGGCTTCTTCTGAGTCAGGGTCTATCAGCTAAAAGGCTACAAAACTTTGGGGAACAAACTCATTTCCTACTCGGGCCTTTATCATTTAACTAAGCGCATTCTTAGCAAAGCAGGTTTCGTAGGATTTTAAGTATCCTTTCTCAGGCCTGATCTCCCGGGAGCACAGGGCTGCACCGCCCTCTGTTGTTGTTTCAGGCTTAAGTCAGGCAGAGGAGGCAAGATAGCCAAGGAATTTAGGAGGCTTCTCGCAGACAGAATGAGGAGTCAGGCTTCGTCAAAGCCAAGGGGCAAGGGTCCATCACCCCCTTCCTCCATAGCCCCCCAAGTCTTTCCCTGGGGACTCCACGTGATCATGCCTGTCTTAGGTTGTTACCCCCTTGGGGAATCTTACCTGTCATTGGCTAACTGATCATTGGCGCATTGGAGGCCAGTTATGTAAAAAGGAGCAGAAGCGGCACTCCTGTCAGGCAGATAAGCTTTGTCTCCTTAGTGGCTAATGGTCCGAAGGTCACTCACTCAGCCTTAGCTATGGGGGGAGTTACAGCCCCTAAAACCAGGCAGGGCAGTTCCCAACACTCTGCACATATTGTTTCTCTAATCTGAACTGCCCTCCCCCTGCCCCCCATCTTGCTAATTCTAACTCCCACATTTCATCTTAGCCACAGCTTCTCTGAGGTCCTCCGCAAACCTCTCCAACAGTGGAGCTCTCCCTGTACTTTTCCCACTGTGCTAAAATCGCCTCTGCCACACCACCGCTGTCTTACACAGCCCCGTGCCCGGTGCACAGATGGCCTTTACTAGGTAAATAGTTGTTGAACGTTTGTTAAATGAATGTGAGCTGGGTGGTCAAGAAGACACTTTCGGTTGTAGAATGATTGGTAAATGAAATCAGTAGAGGTCAATACCCAGGATGAGCAAATCAGTTTGGGAAAGTGAGGGTGACTGCAAAGTCAGAAAGGAGCCCCTCTGGGGGAGCGTAGTCTGTCTGTCCTGTGGTCCAAAATGCTGTCAGACCTGAGCTGGTTGCTGCGGGGACCAGGTCTTCCTGCCCTGGTGTGCGGGGACCGCAGCCTCCTGGGCCAGGGCCCCAGTGTAGTGTCAGATATTGTCCACTCTCCTTTCCTTGGAATGTGTTCAACACACCTTCCATCCTGGGGCAGAGTGGACAACATCAGTGTGTGCTCGTGTCTGTAAAACTGGCGAGAGAAGAAGGGCACTGGAATACACAGTTCTGTCTTCGCCCTTTCTCGGTGTTCTCCCAATAATCTAGCCTGAACTTTTCATCTGGAGAGAAATCAAGCTCAACTAGTATTCTCAAATTATACATTTGATCCCACATTTTAAAAGTTTATCTTCTTAACTTATCTGTTTTCACTGAGAGCAATGGCATTCCAAAATACCTTTTTATTGTGAATTTATGATGCTATAATAGATTTCATTACCAATATTACTCAATATTTTATTCTGATTCATAAGACTCATAATTTTTTAAATTGTATTTATTTACTTTCAGAGAGAGGGGAAGGGAGGGAGAATGAGAGAAAGAGAAACATCAATGTGTGGCTACCTCCCACACACCCCCAACTGGGTACCTGGCCCACAACCCAGGCACGTGTCGTGACTGGGAATCAAACTGGTGACCTTTGGGTTTGCAGGCCAGCACTCAATCCACTGAGCCACACAAGCCAGGGCAGATTTATATACATATATATGTCTGTATGTATGTATTTAGCAAATGTATGAATACTGTCAGTAAGCATTTGTGTCTAAGAATAGTTTTTGAAGGAGCACTCTGGAAAATCTTCAAATGAATGTCCATCACAAACCCTTCGTCTATTTTGGGGCTTGTGCTTACCAGAGGTAGTTGGCAAGAAATTATAATAATAGAGTGCTGTTTACTTTTGTAGGGAAAACAGTTTCATGGCACTTTATCCATTTGTTCTTGCTGTTGGTTAAATCTTTTTCTCATTGCTCATTCTTCTTAGCTCGGAGCTGAACTGGGAGCCAGGGCAATCAGTCACCTGGAAGAAGTGAGTGATGAAGGCATTGCTGCCATGGCCACGGCCAGGTGCTCTGCTGTCCTTCTGCCCACCACAGCCTACATGCTAAGGTGAGGTCCCCCTCACCCCCACACAAGAGCTGCAAGTACAAGTTGTGAAGACATAGCCTTGCAAGATGCCCAACTATTATTTCATTGCCCTTACATTCAAGTCCCTTAAAAATGCAGATCAAGAAGATGTAGCTCATGGAAAATGCCAGTTCTGGAACGATGTTCAGAAATGGATTATCCCGAGGACCAAGCTCAGAACTAAACTGACTGAGTGGTGGAATTCCTGGGGAGGGCAGCTCATTTTCTTTTTTTACTACTTTTTGGGTCCTCTAAATTAAAGAAAAAACAGTATGCAATACCTTTATAATTAGAAAAAGTGCAGTGGGTCTTATACCTTAAAAACCATGCATAAGATATCAGGGATATCAGCAGTACTCAGAACCTGCAAGAGCTGTGTTCCGAGAAGAGGAGCGTGGGTGTCATAATTATGTACCAGAATCCTGAGGGTGAGGGGAGATATGTATTTTGTAAAATCTCCCCAAGAATTTCGCTCTATGCTCTCCATGGATTTTATACATTTAGTCCATCTCGTATAGTCGTCCTTGCTCTAATTCCACCAAATCCGAGACCTGAGATCTGACTTTCCATTGTTCTGTTCGCATGACAGCCACCGAGTTCCTGGGCAGGGAGACTGTGTGGTTGGGACCCACGGTCTCCACGGGGGTGATTCTGCAGATGTGGCCTTAGGGCAGAGGTGATTTTGCCCTCAGGGGACATTCGTCAATGTCCGGAGACATTTTTGTTGGTCACAACTGAGTGGTGCTACTGACAACGAGTGGACAGAAGCCAGGGGATGCTGCTGAACATCGCACAGGGCACAGACCAACCCCCCAGAACCAAGAATCATCCAGCCCATGAAATGAATTGCACCAAAGTTGATAAACTCTGCCTTAGGCATTGAAAAACAAGACTTTGAGTAACTGTTACAAGGGAAAAGAAAGACTATTTCAGTGCTCTCCTGAAACTTATTTTATTACTCATACATTAATGTAGACTACAGCCAGGAAATATCAATCAATAGCTCATCACTTCACCTTGAGTTTCTGTTTGACAAAGGGGTCGGATATCTTAAGTCTTCTTCCATTCTGAACATCTGTTCCGCAAAAGCTCCGATTCTGGATACTGACAGCTTTTTCCCCCTCTCTTAGACTGAAGCAACCTCGAGCGAGGAAGATGTTAGATGAAGGAGTAATAGTTGCCTTGGGCAGTGACTTCAACCCTAATGCCTACTGCTTTTCAATGGTAATTATTTTTAGCTTTCTGAGCAGAGTATTGAACTCCCACCAAGCATATAAACAATTTTAAAATATTTCTGTTAAAATGTATCAAGCATCAAAAAATATTTTCCCATGAAACAAGAAACACAGATGCAGACAGCGGTGTCTGTGAATTTTTCTGCACATGTGAATGCCTCCAGGCATAGAGAAAGGAGAAAGGGTCCCATTCGAATTATTTCCTGATTTAGTCTCAGGCGCTGTGGTTTTACAATAACCCATTTCCCCTCTGGGAGACGGGGATAAGCTCAGGGAAGTCTTAGTAAGTAAGCATGAAGGGGAGTTTCGTTTTATACAGTAAGTGGTCTTGAAAAGCTATAAATAAATATTAAATACACATGGGGCAATCTCCATAATAAAGGAATCTTTTCTAAGGCGTAAGAAGCTTTGTGTGTAAGTTTAGGTTTTCCCATACCAATCCAGTCCTCTCCACTTACACATTTAATCACCATTATTTGCTGTGGCGTGTTGAGAGATGGCCCACGCAGCAGCTGCGTTTTGTTACTTCCCGCCAACACTCTGCTCTCCCCACCTCAGCCAATGGTCATGCACCTGGCCTGCGTAAACATGAGAATGTCCATGCCGGAGGCCTTGGCCGCTGCCACCATCAACGCCGCATATGCGCTGGGGAAATCTCACTCACATGGATCTTTGGAAGTTGGCAAACAGGGAGATCTCATTATCATCAATTCATCCAGGTGAGTGTTCCTCCAGCTAAGCTATTTTATGCCCGTTGTAGTGTATACACCTGTTTAAATCCGCTTTCCACTGATTAGTGGCGTCAGGTTCTGCACCGGTCCCCTCCATCTTCACCCTTCTATAACGAAGTCCCCTACAGGTCCTAACTTACAGGGTACACCAACTTTCTGGTCTCTTTGTCCATCTTCCATTTCCATAGATCTCCAGGCTTCTGTCCTGTCTACCTGGACTCTGGACTCGCTTTGCCCTCTGGCATGTGTTTTTATTTTTCTGCTTGGCTTCTGACATTGTGGCCATTCTGGGCCACATATATCTCAACTTCAGCTTGTCACCCTGGTTCTGACTCATTACTGGTCTAACTTCTTATTCCTAGGGGACCCCCAGATCCTTGCTTCAGTGTGACCTGTCCTGGTTTCTTATTGCCCAGAGCCTGCTGCCATCTGGGTCTCTCGTGTGGCAGTTTGAGTTGTATTCTTCTGAATCTTCAGTCCTTGACTCTAGAGAGTTTATTACACCTCATGTTCGACAGAAGTGAGCAGCTCTATACTTTTACTCTCCATGGCCATAAACCACTCTCTGTACTGAAAATAATACTGGCGTTACCATTTGTGCGTTACTTAGTTGAATCAAATATTAATAGGCTCCTGAGTAATGTGCTAATTTTTTTTAAAAGCCCAAATATCAATGACAAGGTATAAAGAAATTTTTAGAACATATGTTTTTAAACTAGCATTGAATGACAGTGATAATTTTGACTTGTTGTATTGAAACACTGTTTGATTTCTTCCCAGGTGGGAGCATTTGATTTACCAGTTTGGAGGCCATAATGAATTAATTGAATACGTTATAGCCAAAGGAAAAGTCATCTATAAAAAGTGACAGATCTTAAAGGAAAGAGAAGACTCTTCAATTGAATAAAATACATCAATATAGTTATATTAAGATACAAATGACCTTAGTAGTTTACCACAATGATGTCACTTAAAACTAAATGTATTTTGTTGTTTTGTTAACCCACTCGTGAAACCAAGGGATTCATTTATTACCACTTAATATGCATCTGGACATAGAAACAGGTAAACCAATCACGGTGATCGTCTCAAGACATTAAATTATTTCACAAAGAGTTGCCATCAATATTGTGAGGGTTAAGATGATGAATTATGAAAAGAACACATTTGTGGAAAAAAGTGGATTGACAATTAGGTAGACATGGCTTGAAATTCCCATTTTGTTTCCACTTTTCGAATTTCAGTTCAGCAATATCTAGCGAAAACTGGGGGTGGAGGGAAATCCAAGTGCCATGCCCCCGCGTAAGCTAAAATGTAGACTCTATAACAGGCAAAGGGCTTTTCCTCTCCCTGCCCAGTCTGTCTTTCTAGATGCTTTTTGGATGCTCCAGGGTCCTTCCATTTCTAATTTCTTTTCAACCCTAGCTCGAAATAGACTTCCCAACACAGTTCAAGACTTCCTGTAATGAGTGCATTCTGACCAAATCCAATAATGTCACTTTTAAAATTGTTTCTGAGGTTTTGATTGCTCACATTACAAACGCACGGCGAACATGTGTGACTCTCAGTAGGTGCTCGCTGTCATGGCTGCTGTCGTTTCCTTACTGCACGGGAGGCAGAACAGCGGCCTGGTCTGTGAGAGCTTTTCAGCAAATAAACAAATGACAGAGTTACTCGTAAAGGGTGGATGGTTATTTATATATATAAATAGTTGCTGAGGAAGCCATGTGAGTTTATTTGAAATATTTTAAAATGTTTTAACCATCTGTATGATCACAACTGTACTATCAAACTTTGTCCTATGTATGAAGGAACGATTTGGAGAGTAAATGATAACTACCCAAATCCTCACCCATTTCAGGTGAACAGAGGCTGAATCGATAAGGCTTTACTGTGTTCAGCATGAATCAAATCGAGATACGCCTCGTTAGAATGCTGAGGGTAACGGGGCACGTTGCTGTCACCACTGATTGAGCATGGGGCTCTGGCTGTCTTCCGCGCATGCTTGGTGGAGGAGTCTTGAGCGGGCGTGGGATCACCTAGTCAATGGTGAGAATTTGGGATGTTGGCAATAGATATAAAGGCCAACACTGTGGATGAGGACTGTCCTGGAACCCAAGCCACACAGATGTTTATCCTTATACTTATAGAATAAGGTGAAGCTCATCCTGTTTCCCTCCAGGAGACACTCACTCAAAACAAGGAGTACTGGCGTCTTTTTTGAAGGAAAGCAGTAGAGGATACCCACCAGGAACTACCTTAGTCCTCCCAGGCCAGTGTCTAATGGTAACTTGCAACCCAGGGGAGCTTGCTAGAAACTCCGAACATCAGCCTGACCCCAAACCTGCTGAATTAGAGTCTGCACCTTAAGAAACCCCCCGGCTGATCCGTGTTCCCATTGAAATCTGAGAAGCGCTGCAGCCTAAGACCCCGGCCAAACCAGCTTCCACCCTGTTCCTCAACAACACCGGCCTGCGTGTGCTGTTCAGGCCTGGCAGAACTGTCCCCTCTGTCTAGATTGCTCTTCCTCTCTTTTCCAGGTGGGAATCAGAGCTAGTCACTGCCCACCCCACATGCTCTTTTACCTGGAATACAGTTTTTATACCACTGTAATTTGCATTGCGAGTTAGTAGAGGGCAGGGACCTTGGCATGATCCCAAGTTCTAGTGTGGGGGACTGGTTCACAGCAGGTGATCAATCAATGAATTAATGAATGGCTGCACAGACACACAGATCGTCATAGTAAAAATTACTCATCAAAATCCTTGACGCAGGCTAACCTAGGGATGCAATTATTGTGTGGATTGGAAAGAGCCTATGGGTTCCCTAATATAATGTCAAAGGATGATGCTCATGGGGGAGTTACGTGTTAAAGTAAAACCAAAGAAAGAGTTTCAAGGTTGGGTGGGGTTGGGGTGGGGCTGCCATCCTCAGCTTTGGAGGTTGGGAGGAGAGTTATGAGAGGAAAGGCTCCAAGGTAGAATATCATGACATGTTCAGAAGACAGATGATGAGTCTTCCTGGAGTAGAGTATTCAGTGGGAGCTCGGACTACAAGATGAGGTCATTTTTCACAGGGCTTTCAATGTCAGTCTCGCTGGTTAGAACTTCATTTTAAAGTCAGGGCAAGTGCCTTGACTGGTGTGGCTCAACTGGTTGTGCGTCGTCCCACAAAGCAAAAGATCACAGTTTCGATTCCTGGTCCGGGCACATGCCCGGGTTGCAGCCTGGTCCCTGGCTGGGGCACATGCGAGAAGCAACCAATTCATGTTTCTCTTGCACACTGATGTTCCCCCCTCTCTTTCTTCCCTCCTTCCCTCTCTCTAAAAATAAATAAACAAAATCTTAACAAAAATAAAGACAGGGGAAGCCACTGGGTGTTTCTAAGTGGGTTAGAACCAGGACAAGAGTGTTGTTGTAAAAAAGATTAATCCGGTTTCAGTGTACACAGCAGACACTCAAATATTTGTTGTGCAGGCGGACTCTGGCATGATACCTTGAACAAGTCCTTCAGTGGAGACAGGAGGGGACCTCAGGGGCTAGATGTCCAGCTGGAAAGTGAGACGTGAACACTCTAATCTGTGCTCCCCACTGGCCTAGATTAACATTTCTTCTCTCAACCTTTTAAAATTACTGGGCCACCTTCCCAGGGGAAAAAAATGAATTTCTTTGTAAGGCATAAGATTTTGTCTGGTAGGGTTGAGCTTTGGAAGACCACAGACCACTGTGACGTGTAAGTTTCTTTTGCCTCTCCAGACCAATTTGCTCCCTCGGTGGCAACATCAGCCCCACTGAGCTGAGGTTGTGTGCACCAGACACTGCGGGAGACAGGGAGGCAACACGGTGTGCCAAAGGGCACACAAAGCTGGGACTTGATGTCCGGGCTTTGATTTTCTCTCTAACTCTTGATGTATCTGTGGAGGGTGGACTCCCTCCAGCTCCAAAACTCTGCTTTGAAGCTGGGCCATGCCTTCAGGGAACTTACAATCCATTTAGGGCAGTAAGACGGACATTAAAGAGTAGAACAAAGGCAGAAAGTGTTAAGAGCTGGTTGTCTTACAAAGAACTCTGGTTAAACACAGTGATACTTAAATTTAAATTAGTTTTGCCAGACTACCCCCTACTCCTCAAAGCATAAGCATCTTGGTCTTTATAACAGTAAGCAGAAGGATAAAAGCAATACCAGCCTCTTGGAGAGATATTTTTCTGATGGGAAGTTATTCCAAAATACAAAGACACATGTGTTCCAGTGGGTTCTACTGAAGCTACCCCAGGCTTCATGGGGCACCAGGCACCCAGAGGGTAGAGCCCACAAGGTGAGCCAGAGCAATCTGTCCTCGCTCACGCACCTGTGAGCGTTCAGAGGTGGCCTGTCTTGGTGGAGCTTTGCTTCCCCGACTGTCCCATTTGCGTGGATTCTCGTGCCCTTGATGACCTGGCCTCTACTTACTCCCCAAACTTCCCATCTTACTGCTATGTGTTGCTGCTGTCATTTCATCCTGCAGCCCACTGCCAAGGCTACATACACACTGTGAAGGCAAGGCCAGGACCCTGTTGGTCACATTTGTTTGGTGATAGAAACCGACCACACGTAGAATTGATTTCTTAGCATCAATGCCTGCTGACATTAAAGTTCAACTTTCATTTCTTCTTGTCCTCTCTCTGACTCCCATCACTCAAAGCCCGGCTTAATCGCCTCTTCCAGGAAGCCTCCCCGATAACCCGAAGGCACTGCAGTTATTGTGCTTTCCTCCAGGATGCATCCTTGGTTAGTAATTGTCTCTTCGTGCCCCCAACTAGATGGAAGGTCTTTGGTTACAGGACCACATCCTGTCTCGATGCTTCACGACCCTGGTGCAGCACCTCACAAACAGCAGCTGTGCCAGGTAGAGTGCTAACAGCTACAACGATCAGAACCTGACCTAACCTGGCCTAAGGAATTAGGAAGATTATTGGCTCGCCCATGCAATTCTCACAGGAAGAGTAGACTTCAGAGCTGGTTTGTCTGGAAGTTCAATAACGCTGATGACACAGATTCCTTCCTTCCCTCCGCTCCACCTTCTGCTGTTGGTATCAGCCTAAGGCCATGGGTCCGCCTTGGGCTGGGCTGGCTATCAGCAGGCACTGTTGCTCCTGATCTCCTCATTCAGGTCAAGCAGGAGGATGACAAAGGGTGGCTGCCGTGGTTCTCCTGAGAGAAAAGCGATTCTCAAAGCCTCCGGTTAAACTCTTCTCTGTCTCATTGGCCCAAATTGCAACCTCAGCCCTTTCCTAACTAATCACTAGACAAAGAGAACAGGAACACCTTGAGACTAACCAGGCCTTTACCCTGAGCTGAAATGCATGTCCACCAACTTTTTTCTCTTTTTTAAATCCTCACCCAAAGATATATGTATTGATTTTAGAGGGAGGGAAAGAGAGAGAGAGACAGATGTGAGACATTGATTGATTGCTTCCTGCAAGCACCCCAACTGGGGATTGAACCCACAACCTAGGCATGTGCCCTGACTGGGAATTAAATCTACAACACTGCGGTGTATGAACGACACTCCAACCAACCGAGCCACCCAGCCAGGCTCCTCTAACCCTCTCTCCTTTTTCTTTCAGTTTTGGTTTTTGGTATATTGTCAATGCTTAAATTTAGTAAATATCTTCAACAAAAGTCACCCCCAAATGCAAAGTGATCATGCTGTTCATGAGGTAATTAGGTATAACAAAAATATAGTAATCCAGCAACCAGATCCAGAAATGAGCCACAAGTTTAAAGCAGTATGAAAAGTATGTTTTTCTTAAAGTTTTTCGGGTACACATGAGATTTTATGTATGTGGTGGATTATTAGAGTAATTGCCCCCAAATCGCATGCCCATGCCCTGGAGTCCTGCTCTCCCCAATTGACCTTGACCTGCTTGGCCCAACAGGAACAGCAGAAGCTGAAAAAGTCCTGGCACTTTGGGGCCTCCCCTCTGGCTGACCCCAAACAGCAGGTGGGGAAGCCAGGCCAGCCTGCTGGGGAGGTAGGCACGGTGCCTCCAACTCTGTCGCTGCTACTCAGTGGGAAAGAGAGAGAGAGACTAAGTCAATCACATTTTCTAAAGGTACTTTTTCTCAGGTAAACATTCATTGACTACATCTCTGAGAAACCTGATTAAATGCAGTTAGAATAGCCTTTCCCTAAAGAGGTGTTAAACTTTGTTTTAGAAATCCGAGAATGCTCAAAATCCCTCCCCCTTTTTCCCCTTAAGTTCCCTTCCCTCTCCCCTCTGGTCGCTGCCCACTTGTTCTCTATTTCAGTGTCTTTGTTTTTATTCCGTTTGCTTGTTTGTTTTATTCTTTAGCTTCCTGTCAAAGGTGAGATCATATGGTATTTGTCCTTCAATGCCTGGCCTATTTCACTCAGCATAATGCTTTCCAGTTCCATCCATGTTGTTGCAAAAGGTAGTAGCTCCTTCTTTCTCTCTGCTGCATAGAATTCCATTGTGAAAGACACAGAGATGAGGACTTGGGGGGGGGGGAATGGGAGGGAGGGGGGACCGGGCGGGGGGGGGGTGGGGTGGGAAGGGAGAAATAGATAAAAAAAAAATGTACTTGAAAAGTAACTAAATAAAATTTAATTAAAAAAAAGAGTTGCTAAATGTGCTTAGGGCCCATTTATGTGATCTACCAAATATTAAAATTATTAAGTGGTAAACGACTGTGAATTCGGGAGTAAAGTATTCATCACAAAGCCAAAAAAAAAAGAAATCCGAGAATGCAGCGACAACATAAGACGATTGAGTTTATCCCATATTTACCTTGACATTCTCTTGAAGGCAAGTGATGTCAGTTACTATGAGAACGGTCTAAAACGACTCAACCACAAAAGGCCCCTAAGGACCATAGGGGCCTGTGGGACCCAGCACACCATAAATTGCTTTGAAAAACAGCCATCAGACTGTTTACTAGCTCAGGTTTACTAGCTCAGCTGCAGCTCACAGGTTAGAATAGATCAACTTCATCTGTGTGTGTGTGTGTTTGCGTTTCAGGAAAGAACAGCATGGAGAACGTCTGTTTTGCCAACAAGTTCCTCAGCACGTTTTTTGTTCACTGAATTGCTGTGGGCAGTGTTTTGCATCCCCACCTCCACCTTTCCTGCAGACAGGTTGCCATCTAGGGCGAAAAATCTCTTGTGCAACACACTATTGTTGCACGCAGTTTGGCTGTACTCGGGCAGGCAACCTGGCGAGTGTGTCTGTCCTTTCCTGAACCAACTGCGGGTTTTGGACACGTGGTTTCCGACTCCTGCACTGGGAAATCTCACACCCATTTGCACAGAAGGGCGCCAAGTCAGGGGTCTGGGAAGATAAGAGATCCTCTGACTCATCTTTCATCTGGTAAATTACACTGAAGCCTTCCCAGAAAGGCCCTTTAAAACTGAATTTGGAGGGGAAAAAACCCAGATTGGGGAATACATTCTAAGGCCCCATCTGGTCTTTGTCAATGGGGTCTCATTTTAATGGTTACCATGCCAGCAAGGGGTTGGACCTGGTCATCAGATTCCTTGTCTGTGAAAGAAGGAGGCTTAATGCAGTGTTATTACAAGAACGTGAATCGAGGAACCTTGATGTGGGGTGGTGAGGGCGCAATACCACATACACATGATGGATCATAGAACTGTACACCTGAAACCTGTATAACTTTATTAACCAATATCACCCCAATAATTCAATACAAAATAAACAATGTGAATCATGTCCTAACACACAGTAAGAAAGTAATAATACTAACCTCCAGCTCTAGTTTAAGCACCTAAGTCCTTGTTTGGATATTGTGTAGTGATAACTGATAAATATGAAATGCA